TGGTTTCCAATACTACAGCACCAATGCTGATTTGCGGCAATATTAAAGATTTCACCTCTGGTGAAGGCTTAAAGAAACAGACGGTTGGTGGTGAGCCCGAATTGGGCCGCTCTCGAAGCCAGAGCACTAGTCATGTGATGCAACTCATCCGCGCTGTGTGAAAACAACGCACATTTGTTAGCAAACAACAACATGCGGATAGTTGTCTCACAGACTAGGGTTCTCGCACCGAAACGACGGGTGTTCAGCAAACCACCATCAATACGGTGCTCCACACGAACACCGTAAGCACAATCGGCATCATTGCAAGAAGATAAATATTAAACAGGGCAGGAGCTAAGACACAAACTTGCTTCCCACCAGTGACAACTGCAGTCATCCAACGTCTCCCCACTCAACTGTACCCTCATCCGCATACCACTGTGCAGACATTAAATTAAACTTTCAAACTTACTCGGGCTACCAAACACCCAACACTAGCCAAAATGCCCCGCGGTCCACCGTATCAAATGCCTTGGTGAATTCAACGAAAAGCGAGTACAATGGCTGTTGTCGTTGTCCGCCCTTCTCCTGCAACTGAGGAGTCGTAAACACCATATCTATGGTGCTGCGGCCCGAACGGAATCCATACTGCTCTTCCGCCACGTTCGGTTCCACAACCTGACCGACCAGGCGGTTGAGCAGGGTTCGGACAATCATTTTGCCCACACAACTCAGCAACTTGATGTCATTGATAATTCGTGCAACATTGCTTGCTCCGTTTGCCCATGTACAGTGGTAGCACAAGGACATCCTTTAACTCAGGAGGCATCTCCTCATCAATCCAAACACGTTGCACCAAGTAGTGCAGCGCAGTCACCAACGCGGGTCCGCCGTGTTTCAATACTTCAAACGGGATCCTGTCGACACCGGTATACTTGCCCTTTTGCAGCTGAGCAAGTACTCTCTGCATCTCATCCAATGTCGGCGTGTCCGCCAGACTCGCATAAAGTAGGCCTGTCGATCTCTGAACGGTTGTTTAAGAGACAGTATATATATATATATATATATATATATATATATATATATATATATGATTAGTCTACTAGAAAGTCTGGAGCGAAGTCAGGGAGAAACGCTTATGGAGAGCGAGAGGGTGAATATTCAGTTCATACGTTTTGACTTTGGTCGATTACCAAATAGAAACCAAACACTTTTCACAGTTTCAGCCGCAGGCGGTTGGTATACAATGGATCACCAGTGTGCAACAAGCAGCAGTGACTTTGTCAAGTGTCGAGTTACATCCGCGACGTCATTATGTCGATAAACAGACATTTGTACCTTTTATAGGGAGAAGGCTTATCAGGTAAAAAGCTGCCACGTCCTGGAACAGTGCCGCCGAAGCATTCTCTGGAAGAAGTTGTTCAATAAGGCAGGTGGAATGACTCAGTGAAGCGGTCGCATTCACCGACACGCGTCTTGCGCTTAAGATGTGCAGTTACGGGCCCAACAACCCCTTGTTGATTCTCTGGCTTGTTGCAGCTGTAATAGATGAGGAATGAGCAACTGCCGAAGTTAATTGACGTCATGTGAAAGATGTTGCAGCAGTTGATTGGTAGTATTTGCGGCGTGAGAAGGATTGTTAAGTGGGTCTGAAATGCCGTGTTTACATGGCCATAGTGACCAGCTTAATTTATGGAGTGACGCTTGGTGATGAACAATGAAACAACTGACGAAATAACTGAGCGCAGATGGTCCGGTTCTCCTTCCAACATGAAGTCCATACGACACCGTGATGGCTCCAAGCTTTGTGAGGCAAGAATCACCAGCGGCACCATTGTGTCGTTGGCTGTTGTTTCCAAGCCGCATTGATTGTTTAAGGTTTCTGATGCGAAGTAATATGTAAAGTCGGGCGTGCAGGACGCGGGGTAATGAAGGCCACAAAGGTGCGATGTAGCTAATGCAGCAATATGGTTAGCTCTGTATCGCTGATGAGGTGCAGATGTGTTCCTCTTTAATTAACACTAGTATAAAGGTGATTGTGGCAGCGAAACAGCGGTAAAAGCCCCGATGTAGCGGTGATGTTGCTGAGGATAGCCAAAAGGCAGGTTTCATCGGAAGATAGAGCAAGGCAACAGAGAGGCCAGCAATTTTCGTTCCTTAAACATAAGACCATTGTGACGGACTCAGTCCATCACTCGTCAATGGTTGAATAGTTAAACCAGTGATTAATGATGTTCGCTTTTGAGATCACTAGGTCAACAGTGCCGGCTGTAGAAAAAACAAGTCAAGTAGGCGACATCCTCAGATTGGCTAAACGGTGCAAGCGCCAAAGCTCCGGAAAAGCATCGAACTAAGACACCGTATGCAAGACACTTGACTACTGAGGAAACCGAAAGCAGAAACTGATCAATCGGATGAACTACACATAGAATCTGCTGTGTTAATCAACTTCCAGGCTATGAGAATGTGTGAGATATATGTCGTTGGATAACGTCTAAACAATACCAGACGATGAAGGATATTACAGCTTACACAAATAGGAAGGAATTGGGTCATTTTATGTGCAGATCGGACAAGATACTTAGGCATACTAATCTTAAGGTCAATTGAGCAGCTCAGGAGTAAGGAAATCAAAATATATATAGCTTGAATAGGTCGAAAGCGTGCAATAGGACTAATGGCAGATTCAAATGCTGGGAGGAGAAGGAGTAATGAGAAACCAAAACTTCAGCACAGCGCAGTGGATAAGTCACTAGGAAAGTTAAGACAAAGACGCTCGCGGCTTGCATTAATACACAGTTTGCTGAAGTCACACTTTGAGGAATATATATAAAGCGCGAAAGAGTAACTCTTTATTATCCAGCTGCTCTTTGCTTAACAGTGAGACATTCAAGACTATCAAAAAGGGTTGGCCAGCGCAGCGAAAAACGACCAAACCCAACTGCTGTGAGATAAGAAATACCGTTTTCACGTATTAGGTTAGGGTACTGTTAAGATTACATACATACATGCCGTATATATCTCAATTTTGCAGGATGAAGCTGATAGCTATTTTGTTCAATCAACTTCCCAGGTCAGTGGAGACTATACGCCGTCCACCTTTGAATATAGACGCAGGATATCGCGCACGATCTTTGGACAAGAGATTTTGCCTCAATTGAAACGAATTCTGAAGAAAAATTTTAATGAAAGCTTTTCCAGTTTGAATAGATACAAATCCCGAAGATTTAGTTCAGCTTACTCGGGTCACTGCTCGAACAATCTATGACAGTACATCCATTTGACAGTGCACCCATTTGTAAACTTAGCATTTGTAATGGTAACCTGTTGGTACATTTAGAGTTGATTATGTAAACTGCTGAAAATACGCCCATCTGGGTGCATAAAGCTCATACAGACTTGACTTGACATTTAAGGTGTTGTGAACCAAAGGTGGTGGGTCGGTACCAAAGGCGCAACAACACCAAGAACGCGGTTGGCCAACTGCAAGAGAAAGCCCCGTTGCATGCGAAAGGGAAAAGCCGGTTTTGGGAGCGGCAGACGCCGAGTGATTCCAGCCTATCGAAGTCAAGCACATGGTGCTGCAGCACATTCGGCCGCAGCGTGGCCATGGGAGGTCAACATCGAAGAGGGGACGAGTCACCTGAATAGGTAAGCCTCATCAGCGCAGTGCTTGTGAAGTACGCTGCTTCCGATACCATTAATTAGCCCAGACCAATAATGCGTTCGCTGTGGCACGAGTGCTACATCATCGCTGTAGTTAGTCTGTACATGTGAATGCGTGTTGATTTGCATTTCAGGTGTTTGTTTACTGAATGTTATCCACGGTGTGATTGCGCTTGGTGTGAATGTTGGCAAGGTGTCTACCACTCAAAAAACCGCGATATCGAATATACCGGCTTAGGAGACAGTTGGTTGTTGCTTGGGGAGACAAGGTGCACGGTTATGATTATCGTGTTAGACTTACAGTGGTTCCATTCAAAGTAAAGCGGACTACAGCTCAGACACCGCCTTGTGTATGTCTGAAACGTATGATTCCCGAGTTAGATAGGAATACTGAAGCTGTGTACGTTGAAGGAGTGGGGGCCGGCTCCGTTGAGGAAACGTGACTCCTATCCACATGCCTCCTGGGCTTATTCCTTCGGGTTTACACTGGATATGGGGTGTGCGGGTGGTGCAGCGCAAACCACCCATAGTCATTCAGTAGGCGCAGGTGTGCTGTAACTGTGCTATGCAAGCTGCAGTGACAAGCAAATCCGGAATTTATGTATACAACTAATGTGTACATATCCACAGAGTGACAGCAGATTCACGAGATAGCTTCGCAATTTACCCCAGGATATCTGATCTAAATGGCAAAGATGCACAAATTAGAACAGCGCAATACTGCGTGTCTACATGAAACTATTCTCCGGAAATCACTTGAGCACTTAATTATTACGGTCTTAAGTTATTAATTCAACTAGTACGCTGCAAATCGGGGAAACCAACCGGCCTTGATCTGAGAATAGGTTAGCTGCATGAAATCAGTAGCAGCACTCATTCGGTGCGTAGAAAACCAAACACTGTGTGCGATGTACGTAATGAAGAAATACATTCCTAAGGTGTTATTAAGTATGTCCAAATTCTGTAAATGGTTTAATTGACCAGTCTGCCTCAAACGATCCACAGTGGCCAGCAACTAGCTCTGCTTAGAGGCCTATAGTTGGTTTAAAGACAATGGGAAAAAACACAGGCCGGAAAAATAAGGATTTGTAGTGTTAAAAGAGCATAGAACTGACTGCTAGGACGTGATGTGACAGTCCAGTTGGTGGATGCAGGTCAGTTTTATAAGGTTGGAACTACACAAATGAGGTCTAGTTAGTAGTTAATAGTAGGAGGTTCTAAGATGATGACGAAAGCATCAAACAGATGTACTCAGAGGAGAAAGTTGCATCAACGATTGTTCTGTGTAAAGATTTAGCTTCGTTGTGGACATTATGAAGAAAAGGAACACACACAAATCGCAAGAGTCTCACCGACAGAATGAACAGTCGCTCCAAAATGCAATTCTGATTTCCAGCCTTCACGATCAGATTTTACACGTCCATTCAAATTGACAATGGTGGCATGGGCTGGAAAATGAAGTAAATATTGCAAGACGCGTCACCTTCAGGTTTGAATCGATTGCACGTCAACTGCTGTTACCCTTTAGACACTAAAATGATTTGGCAGTTGCACTAAAAGTAGTTTCACTAGGACAGTGGTCGTTGAAGCAAGCCGCTCAGGCGTCCGGTGCACAGTTGAGGAGAAGAGTTAACTTAAACTAGACGCTTACTAAGCGCTTTTGCTGTATTCGGCAAAAGGAACTATAATTGGTGCGAGTTGTCAACATTTCGAAAACAGCACGTAAATTTAGTGCGAACGCAGTCCGACTTGAAGTATTATCAAAAAGGAGTAACGCGATACAAGGATGTGTCGACTGAGGTAGTTCGAAAATCGGCACGACAGTCACCAATATATCATTGACGTCTGCTCGTCCGCGATGACAATAAAGGGAGACCATAAACAACGAGGGTATGTGACAAGATTATAGCGTAGAGACCTCACGGACAGCATACAAATGGTTCGATTGGTCTTGTACATGCGGCGAACAGGAAGCGCTGACAGATGGACTCAAACACAGGATGTTTGTTGGAAGTGCTGTATGATGAGTCGCTAGTGAGCATTTCGGTAACGGTCGGCATGTAATGAACAACTTTAGACGGTTATCGAGTACTCGTTAGTCCCTAAACACTGCAACTCACAAGGACTAGTGCAAGAATCAATGCCAAAAGCAATCACAATACAGCTGGAGCAGCGGACAATGCGAACGGGACCAACAAGCAAAACATTATGAAGTCAACTAGATCTTTACTGTTAGATGTACACCTATATAGGTGGTTCAGATGACAAAGCAAGACAAAATTCAGATGAACTCAAAGTCGTAGCCAAGTACATTGTGCCCCAAAATTACCCGAAAGTATACAAAAAGGAATGTTGAAAATACTTAACAAACCGACATTGGATGCATCGACTAATGTGCAAGTTTGCGACACCAACCCAAAAATCGTCATTAATTCTCGATAATCCGACCAAAGGGACGGTTGAAACATAAATCACCTTACGCAATGCGCATGGTAAAAGGCAACAATGACAGCAGACTTACTTGGAAAACATATCAGTAGCGTATTGTACTCCAGCTGAACCACCTTGATAACCTGCAATTGATCGTCGGCTAGAAAACAAAAAATGCAACAAATTTCAATCTTTTCGGACGGTAGTCACAGAGCGCGGCAGTCTATTCTCTTTATTAGACCATTGAGACCTAGCAGAAAGCGCATGAAGACCACTTATCCAGACATTGACGATATGGGAAAAACTAGGCCATTAAAAGACTAAACATGGAGTGAAATAATGCTCCAAAGATAATCGCAACTAAGTGGAGCCAAATGCATCTTTGATGAAATGCGTAATCAGTTGTCCTGAACAGGCACATGACGAGAGGACACTTCCATCAGATGGCTGTAACAGCAAACGCAGCGTCCTAAATGTGCGTCAAGATGAGTCAACCGACGCATCGGTAGGTAGTCAGCGCATTCGCAATTTGGATCCAACTTCAGCAAGAATAGTAATTTGACCTACACGGGCATTAATGCAGGGTAAAACAAGATTGGAGGACTGAGTGAGTTATCAAGTTCAAGTCCAGCTGCATGAGCGCTCCGAACCAGTGAGTTAAGTTCACACAATGAATAACTATGATTTAGGCACAGAAGTGCGGTGGATCCAGCTGCCATGATTCACTTTGCCAGGGTAACAATAAACAACGGTAAGAAAAGGAGCTTGAACGCAGACAGAGTGCAAAAAGAATAGGACCAGGGAAGCAGTGCGTTAAACGAAACAAGATAAAATGTCGAAAATGCAGGAAACCGAATGCAGATACGCCACTGACTGCCATGTCTGATAGCCTTCAGATACAGTCGTGAATCAACGCGAAGCCCCCTTCCACAGCCTTACCAAGTCTCTCAGTCAATATTTTCATGTCTTTGTGTTACTTCATCTACTGATCACCTCGCGATTTCGCCCAAATTGGTGCGGCCACAGCGTATAACGTAAGCCGAGGAAGGAGGCTAGCAAGCATAGGAAAGATTTGACCCAACCAATGCAGGCGATGAAAATTCAACAAACATTCGACTGAGGTATCGGAAGGTTTCTTCTAAAAACAAGCTAGCGGACCTCAGCACTGCTCACCAGGTGTTCCAACCAGATATGAGCAAACACGCCGCAAGCACTGGTGGTCAAATACGGCCGATCATTCCATGTCTTCACCGCGAACTGACCAGATCGCTGATACATACCAGTGTTATCTGCCTTACTATTCACAGGAAAGCTGATTATTTCGCCATCTCGATAGATGGTTGGACCTCTGGAAAACCACATAGACATTGCTGATGGGTGAAATAACTTACTTCCTCAGTGATTTGATGACCAGATGTGACACCTACTAAGGCAAATGAACCGACCAACTACTTCTAGTGGCTGTTCAGTGATAGATAGAACACATGGTGTGTCGGTCCAGTTCTGCAACAGAAATTCGCACTTTGAAGGTGTAAAGCACATGCCGAAGCCTGCAACGCTATGCGCCAGTATACCCAGTAGGGTTGGCATAGTCACTGCATCAGATCACAGAAGACCTGCCATCCACACTCTCAAGGTTCAACAGTAAGTCACCCGGTGGAATTTCCACTGGAAGAACCTGGGAGAACGAATTCATTAATGATCATTTCGATCACAAAGATGACGAAAAAACACAGATTTAGGACGACCTTCACGATCCTCACCTGTCATGGGAAACTCAGGAGACAGAATTTCGTAGCGCGTTATTCGGTCTCCGGGGTCATAACGGACAGACTTCATAATGGAAAGGAGTTCCCGTGTCACACCCTTCACAAGTAAGCAATGCCACAAGCTGGCACGATCAACATAGTCAAAGCCAACTATTAAATCAAGGAAAACCACCATAGTCAGGCGCCCGTAAGTGTCATCATCATTGTCATCACCAGCAGTACACCAGCCACTCGAACTGATGCTTCGCTACCATACAACCACAATGGCCTACGGAACAAAGAATAATAAGAGGGAGAGAAGGGGGGACTTAAGGGAAAAGTTTGATGCCCTAAGCAAAAATTCAGGGTCAAGGCGCCTACACCTTGTCAACAACATACCGTCACAAACAGCTGGTTATCGTGAAAAGATGAGGCGGCATCAGCGAGAGAGCGTCATAATCAGCCATTATTCCGCAGATAACAGCACTAAATACACAATAAACAGGCAGTCCGATTAGGAAACGGGAGCAGACGCGCCACTGGTGTCGACTCCAAAACATGCTCTGTAAAGTCTTGAGGTAAGCACAAGGTGAGTCACAGGGATTCCAGCCTGGAAAGCAAGATAGACCGATGGTACCCAGTCCGGCCATCAGGGACTTAATTTCCCGCTGCCAAGTCAAATTTTGTTCACTTCAAGCCTTGCGCCTCTATACATCTACCAGACAAAACAAGGCACCCCTAAGTAAGCGGCGACCGGGCAGATGTAGTACGTGCCAAAGCCAACGATACTTACCCAATGCTATCTGTCGTTCTAAGGAGCTAGCTTAAACATTACCGCCTAGTACTCGCCAACGCACATCATCCTTGCGGACATGCTGGTGCCAACCGACACCAGTAATGCTCCGCAGACAGCATCATCATTATTATTGTAACGTTTTATTTTATTGCGAAATGACATCGTGGTTGCAGGGGGAGGCCAAAAGGGATGGGATCATTAACGCCACTGAGATCTGCTCCTAGCAAATGCATCCAGACAAACGTGTTCATCGTCTTTCGGACCCCAACCAGGGAGCCGAGACGCTCCAACCGAGGCCAGCTTCGAAGTGAGGGCCTTCATTCCCCTCGACCGAGTCATCGTTTGGCCACCCCTCCTCTTCTTCCATTCACACTCCTGGTGAGCAAACAACGCACGTCGAGGAAGTCGGTGGGCCGACTCATCGGAGCCTGGTGCGTGAAACAACGGTGCAGAGTGGTTCATTTTCTTTTCCTGTGCCGTAAACAAGGCGTCGAACACGCTCGTTGCTCACGCGGTGTTCCCACCAGATGTGAGCCAAACCGCGAAGACACTGGTGGTCAAACGTAACTAGCCTCTTTAGGTCCGCTGATCTAAGGGGCCAGGTTTCACAACCGTACAGTAAGGTCGAACGTACCGCTGCATTGTACACTCTATCCTTCAGGGCGACAGTGATGTTGCGCCTGCGCCGTAGGTGGTGAGGTGCTTTTGCTACACGGTTCGTGATCTCATCTTCGATCCCACGGGTGCTGATACAACTTCCCAGTTAGTTGAATTTTTGAACGACTTCCCCCACCAAGGGTCAGCGCAGAAGGCGGTCGCTGACATGCTAATCAGTGCACTGCAGCTTGGCAAGTTTTAGAGCTGTCACAGATGAGGGCAATATCGTTGCGTACTCCAAGTCAATAAGTTGTTCCCCTGGGTGTAGCTCCACACCTAAGTCATGTTGTGTGAACGCAATCTCCATGACTTGGTCAATAGGGAAAATGAAGAGGAAAGGTGACTGCGGGCATCCCTGTCTCATACCGCTGGAGATATTGAAGGGCCGCGACAGCTTGCCGTAAGCCCTCACTCTGCCCGTGCTTCGCGCGTACAATGCTCAGATAATATTTACATATTTCTCGGGCACACCTTTCCTGAGTAGACAGTTCGAAAGGGCACTTCGATCAACCGAATCGCAGGAACCTTTGGTATCGTGGAACACGACTACGGTGGACCGCCAATATGTGTGACGGTGCTCCAACAATTGACGCAAAGTGAAGATGTGGTCGATGCAGCCACGACTCCGACGAAACCCCGTTTGCTCCTCACGAATCTGGCTTTCATGAGTGCCAGTCAATCTGTGATGGATTACAGAGGCAAGCAATTTGGAGGCGATTGGTATCAGACAGATTCCTATATGGTTGCCGCATTCCGAAGGCGAGTCTCCTTTGAAGATCGGAACAATAACCGAGAGGCTCCAGTCACTCCCAAAGTTTCACTAGTAATTCGTGTAAATCATCAACAAGAGCAGGGCCCCGGAATTTGAAGAGGGCCGGATGAAGATCGTCTGGTCCCGCGGGTTTGCCCAATTTCAACCGTCCGATCTCACTTTCGACGTCTGAGCGAGATGGTGGATCTACAGGGACAGCCCACGGAGCAGGGCGATCTCTGGTCGGTGAAGAATCGAACAATTCCGATCGGATAAATTGCTTTCAAAATGCTCAACCTAACGCTCCAAACGTTTTGACACGTTGTGGATAGGATGTCAACACTCGTCATAAATTGATTCATTAACACCAGGTCTTCCGCTGCCCGTTTCCCATATCAGACGGAATAACTTACGATGGTTACCAGGGGCAGCGGTTACTTCCATCTGTGACGTACCTAGAGACCACCAGGATTCGCGCTCTCTTCACGCTAGCAAGGAGTTTTGCCTGGAGCTCTTTGTGATTTTCATTGTGTTCACTTCCAGCCGGAGTATGCCGGCGAGCATCGATAAGTTCCAAAGACTGCCAAGAGACCCAATGTCCATGTTACCGATTAGACTTACCACATGAGGATTTGCATGCTGCTAGTAAGGTATGGTGAACATGCGACCAGTGACCTTCAATTGTCTCCAGTGAACACTTACTCAAGCCGCATGACAGCGTAGTTTGACAGGCATTCAGGACAGCTAGCTTTGTAAGTTGGATGATGTCAATGCGTCGTCCTGGGCATCCGCCAACACACATCCGCAGGTCAGCAAATACAAGTGCATGGTCGGTGTCCACACATGTGCTCCAAATCGAGAGACAGTTGTGGACGCAGCCTCTCCAACGGTAACTTATCGCAATGTGATCGAGTTAGGTCCAAGGATGGTTCGAGGTTGATGGGCGCCAAGTCACTCACTGGCGAGTGCTGTATCGGAAATTAGTGCTCGCAAGAAATAAGCGAGCATCCTCACACAAATGAAGTAACCGCTCACCGTTATCATTACGTGAGGCTACACAGAGTTAGCCGTCCAGATGCAGTTCATCAGTGGATAATTTTCCAACTTGAGCGTTCAGATACCCTGCCGACATAACGGTGTCCGTGCTTTTCCAGTGGCGAAAGAGCTTGGTCATTTGGCGGTAGAAGTCGTTTTTTACCGAATCATCGCTACAGTTTGTGGGCGCGTAGGCAGCGATGAGGAATAGACACCTATTAGTCCCGTGCGACTTCGAAGCTCTGAACGAGCCAGCCAATCGGACTGCACACATCCGGCTACTGATTGGAATCCAATCAACCAGAGCAGCTTTAGCCCGGGGACTCAGGGCAATGCAAACACCAGCTTGGCCGAAGCAGGAAGGTGCATCACCACTGGATAGGCGCAAAGAGAAAGTACTGCTAGTGTCACCTGAACGGCATCGCAGTGAGCACAGAGCTCGAGTCTGACAGGCGGGTTTCTGATAGCCAGCAGATATCGATTAGGAGTCTCTAAAGTTCGGGAAAGTGCTGCCTGTTGACCGATCTGAAGCAATGCGCGTATATTGAGACATGCAAATCTGAAGGAAGATCGAGGGCTCCAAATGGAAACCGATGAACTGGGTGGGTGGGTAGGTACGTGAACCAGTCAACCAGCTCGAGTTCCTCGTTATCAAGGGTCAAAGGTTCATCAAGTGGCTGGTGTTCCTACAGAAACACTGCACTCTGAAGGTGCGAAGCGCAACCAAATAACTCTAGTGAGGCTATTCAGGGTTGATTGTGCCATCGCAACATCGTCGAAAAGCAAGACGATATCGTCCGCATAGTCAATATCAACTAATCTTTCACCAGGCAGCACTTCGAAGCCTACACCGTGAGATTTTGCAAGGGAACATTCCATGATAGAGTCCAAGACGAAATTGAACAAAAATGGGGAAATTGGACAACCCTGACGAACGCCACTTGTGGTCGGGAAGCTGTCCGACAGGACACCGTATACCCTGAAGCGGCTTGCAGTGTCCGAGTATAGAGCATGTAAAATGTTCACATATTTCGTGGGAACACCTTTCTGCGCAAGTATTTCGAACAGAATCGATCGATCGACTGAATCGAACGCACTCTTGAAATCGATGAATACAGCTATTGTAAATCTGCGTTACATGTAGCGCTGCACTAGCCTCTGCAACAGCGTGAATAAATCGTTAATACAGCCCCGTCCTGGGCGGAAACATGCCTGTTCTTCCCTAATCCGTAACTCCCGTTTCACAGTAAAGCGACGAACGAAAATCGAGGCCAGTAATAGTAGGCTAATACCCCTGTGGTTAGCACAGTCGGTGCGACCGCACTTTTTGTATATTGCCACTATAATCTATTCACGCCAGTTATCTGGCACGCTCTCTTCTTTCCAGAAATGAACGAAAAAGGTCAGTGCTTTGCAGAGGACCTCAGCTCCTTCCATAAATAGTGCAGGTCGGAGGAAATTCGGGTCAGCATCATGAAAACGATTAAGGGTTGCGACCGCGGTTCGGACCTCAGCCTCTGATGGAGCCTCTAAACTAACCGTTCATGGCTCATCATGCATCACCCGAGAAGGAAGAGGTCCGGAAGCACGGATCCAACTGAAGTGCTCTCGAGTGCTCAGCCCAACGAGCCATACGACGTTCCTTATTGTGTACTAGTGCACCGGCGAAGTCTCTGATTGTCTCACTGGCGCTTGGCTTCTTAGACCGGTAGTGCGGATCAACTGGAAGAGCTTGCGATAATTGCCTAATGCTCCCGCCTCTTCCATTTCTTGAGCCCGACTGCTCCACTAGGCTTCTTTGTCAGCACGCAGGCTCTGCTTTACTTCGCGGTTAAGTGTCTGTCTGGTTACATTGTGCTCACAACCAGTTGGGAAATTTCTTCTAGATTCCAACGGGTTCACCACTTCTCGGATATCTAGTGACTTGTGCCATGGCGACCGAGATCCTATTCCACTGAAGCTCAGTGTCATTAGGACGAGAGTGAAAGTTCGGTACTCAGTGCATTCTTGTAAGCTTGCGTGACAGAGGGCTGAGAAACCCTCACATTTGCCAACCGGGAGAGACGCTTGGTGCATCTCTCGGTAAAGTTCGTGGAAAAACGACAGTGTACAAAGGCATGATCAGAGTCGACGTAGGTATTCCAGTACGAGCGACAATCCAGGATAGAATCACGCCACCTGTAACTCATGGTAATGTGACCTATTTGGGTCCATCGCTGGCCAGCTTCAGGAGAACACCAAGTATCACTTCGGCGCCCACTGTGTTTAAAAACCGTACTACTAAGAAACAACTGGTGCTCCGCACACAGTTGCAACAGGCGCTCGTCGTTGTCCGTCCGTTCGGAGTTTGGCCCATAATTAACAGCTGGAGAAGCTTTTAAACAGCCCAAACGACCTTTTTGTGTATTCATATTCCCTGCAAGTACTATGCCATATGAACTAGTAGCACCGCGTTCAGTTCGTGGTAGAATGTGTCTTTGGTACATCAGAAGTGCAATTTGTGAAAGCATAAGCGGGACCACAAGCATACAGCGTGTTGTACTACTTCGTGAATCAACCTTAGCTGATGTGGTCAAACGGGTTGTACACAAACAACTGTTAAGCGGAATCCGATCAACCAATGATGACTCAGCCTTGGAGTTGAGAACCATACCTACCCCAGCTTGACCCGTGAGTGCTGCATCAGCCTCATCGGACGCGTGTAAGCAATGGGGAGAGGGTAAACCAGTTACAGTTAATTCAAGAACCCTCTTGGGGTCATTGATCTTAGTCTCGGACACACAACCATGTCAGTACCCAGCGTGTCCGACATGCGTTCGGGTGCAGCCTGCTGACCTAGTTGCATTAGAGTGTGAAAGTTGAACGCCGAAGGGAAACGAGACAACGTTGCGTTATAAGGGATTGTTGCCGATAGGGGTCCGGTGCGTGTCACGAGAAGATGGCTGCAGATGGTTCTACTCCAGTGGCACTTCGGTTGCTGTGAATTAAGCTGTGAATTATATAAGGAAGGTTAGTAATGGGGGTTAGGGAGTAAGAGAAACAGGTGGAAAAGAAGGAAGAGAGGCTCTAGCAGTAGAACGTTTTCGTTTATTCGCCCTGCTGTATGCAACAGGTGAGGCAACCCTTGATAATCCGCACGACGGCCGATGCAAGACGTAACTGAAATTTGAAGAAATAATGATGGTTGTACGTGGGCTGATAGCACCAGGGCGTCCAGATCAAGACAGGAGGACGATTAGGGTCCTCAAGCAAAGCCTTTGGCTCGAAAATCTGTCCACATGACAGCGGGGGGGGGGTAATGATGAAATTCTACAGAAATGGATGTAATCTCATTTGAAACTCCCAACCTGGAGTATCAGGAGACTGAGTTTATCTGACCTCTAACCACTGACCAACCTGGTAGGATTAGGTCTCACGGGGCCCGGGGACACCACCCAGTATAGCGCAATGTGTCAAGAAGCTACGCAAACTGTTGCACCAGGTTAAGGTCCAGTATCGTTGCGTAAGTGTGTCTTTGATCTAACACTTGGCGAAGACTGGATGTGGTCTATGCAACCTAGAACAGAACAGAAACCAGCTTGGCTTTCAATGAGTTGGTCATCACGGAACCAGTAAACCGTCGAAGAATGATACCGTGAGCAATGGAAATAAGGTTAGTGGGTTAATGACTTCGCAAAGTCCGCTGACCCTTTTTGAAGATGAGCACGCTAGTTGACAGTAACTGTGCGTAGGTTGACAATCACCAGTCTCAGGACACGTCTTCACTGTCCAAATTGTGTTAAATAGAGCAGCAAATCCAGTTAACGAAGAGTCACATCCATTATTCAGCAAGGATGAAGGTCGTCAGATGCATGGGACTAATTTCGTAAACTTTTCTCATCTGTCGAGCGATATAAAGTTATGCTTTAGAGCACCCTGAGAGTTATCCCCCGCAGTGTGGCCAACTATCAAAGTTGAGAATAACCCAACCATTGAGGTGGCACTGGCTTATGGAGTCATTGATTGATAGACCGTTGTTGAATACTCGGTTTGGTTTATGAGCCAGAATGGTAAAGGCTCCGGATTACTCTCTGACCTAAGCTTAGGTGCCCTTGCTGTGTAGCCACCCACACAATCAGGACGAATACTTACGCTGCTACTGCATACATTAGTGTAGACGACCAAAAATAGCATACTGTTGAGGCTGGACTGGTTATTTTCCTATTCAATTATCGGAAGCACCCGATCCTTTTGATGGCCAACAGCGGTAGTACAACTGAAGTTTCGTCAGATGCAACTGTGCTACCACAGTACAAATGGATTTTCATGATTTGAACACCATAACAAACATCGATACTCGGTTCACGTTTGTATCCCAAAGCGAGCAGATCAACAGACTAACGCATACCGTTTCCAGGAAACCATAACACATGACTCACACGGTCATTGATGCTGAGAAACCAAGCTTCACTGAGTGAAATGTTAAGGAAATCAACGAAATTGACTTACGATTCAAAGGGCCGGAGGACCACGTCTCTCCACTGTCATCATTCAAGTTGACTAAATGTAATCGGTAATGCATGGGATCGGATGTGGCAGAAACTCCCAAGCAGACCAAAGGAAGGGGTTGATCTTGATATATGACCAGATCAAAGTTTAATACCGGGCATGGCATTTTTGGCACTTCAACCTAGTGTAACAAGACAAAGATGGAAAATACGAAGCAGCATTCGTGTTGACCATCGATCGGTTTCCAGATGAGACATTAATTCGCATGACTAGAAAAGCAGTGGTAAACGCTAGAAGGGTAAGTTTCAAATAAATATAAAGGGTGATTTTAACACTGTAGAGTATGAACACAGAAAAGTGATGGACACGAAAAAAACTGGTATGTGGTGTTCCGCTTGAGCACAACAGAGGATCGAAATTGGTTGATTCGCATAGGGAAACTTTATGTGCATCCACCTTAGGTGAAAAGGGACAAAACAGGTTCTAACGAAGCACGGACCATGCTGGTCTTCAATAAAGCAAATATGCTCATTTCTCGGACAAGAATCAAGATCAGAAATCAGTTCAGAACTAAGGAATTCTTCGGCAAACCCTGGTCAGACACACGTTTACATAGCAATGATTATGCATGTAAAGCGTCAAATCGGGCTGTTTGAACAGATGAGTTAAGACAACACTATAAATGGTAGCTTTAATGTATTCGTCCCAGCAGGTTGCAAGCCACTGCACAACTGCCAATCCGAAAAAGCAGCACACGCGTTTCGCCCTATTGGGGTTCGTCACTGGTGTGCATCCCACGGTCATCTACTGGTGATCGAACCTACGACCGCTAGAGGCTGACACCAAGTAGACAGCAGCTCAAGCCACTGAGCCATGGAAGACGGCGGTTGGGCTACAAAATTTGTAAGCTAACTGGGATATAGCACGACCTATCTTCCAATGGCAGCGCTGAAGATGACAGCAGATAACCTTTTACTCATAAGTAATAAAAAGGTAACCTTTCCTAACTACAAATGCTATGAATACAGCGTCTAGTGAGATGAAGTCATGAGCTCGGAGGCTAGGTCACTGTCCGCTGCAGAGGTAATAACCCGAGTGGCAGTAGAATATAGGTCGTGCTATATCCGTTAGCTGCAAATTATGTAGCCCAACCACTGGACTTCATGGCTCAGTGGCCTGAACTGCCGGTTACTTGGTGTCAGCGTCTGGTGAGTATAGGTTTGATCCCCAGTAGGGGATCGAGGAATGCGCACCAATGACAAGTACGATTACGGCGAGGCGCGTCAGGTGCGTTCCCGGATTGACGGTTGTGCAATGCAGCTTGTGAGCTGTTGGAACGAATAGAGCAAAATTACAACTAAAATCTACCTATTCGCAAGTACTATAAATTTTAAGACAAGTGAGCTAAAGGAACTTGAATACATAAACCTCAATGGACCGGAGTGCATAGTTAAGGTAACGAGCAGATAGTTAAACAATGTCTGCTAACCACCGTAGTAGCATCGGCCGTATGCCATTTTTGCGCGCAGACTTCCAGTTTCAGATGGTGGATGTAAAGTGCCTCCCAATGGACAAGATTTACTTGCGGTATCCTTGTCAGAAGCGTTCAATTAGTGAGTAGAAAACTTTGAAGTGAACCACAGAAGCTGTTTAGCCACAATTAAAGCGTGAGATAATTGAGCCGTTTTGGTACCTCTTTGCACCGTAGTAAAATCACGCCGTGATGTGTTCGTGAATCCTCCAAGACACGCGCATGGTAGTGCGACCCAGTTAACGTGCACACCGGGTCACGAGTGCTGATAAACAAGCGCTGAATGGGTCATCGACGGCGGTACATCTTTCAAGGGTTTTGCAGGCAATGGCTTGTTGTTGAAAACAATTCACGAGCGGGTCGTGTAATAAGGTTTCGCAACAGCATCTTTGGGGCACCGATATATCAGCTGCAGAATCGGCCCTACACATCACATGTATGGTAAGCCCGTTCTTAAAAGCAATGCTTCTAGGTGGCTTCCGACTGTGTACCTTCAAATGCTATATGATAAATTTGCCAGAGTAACGAATTTCCATGACGGCGTCCTTGATGTTCAGCAGTTATTCCTTGACGGTATTCGGTGTACAAATACTGAGCGCTCTGAAGGCGAGAGACCGGATTAAACTACACTCACGCTGTAAAGGTACTGCGCTGTGGAAGATGGTTTACTGCCAAGTCCATGTCGGCTTTCTGCTGCATGATGCACTCGGGTTACGGATAACTTCTACATCCAGGAGAGCTAACCAGTTTCCAAATTCGTGTTCACAGGTGAAATAATGGACAATATACAATGACTTATCATGGGTAAAATAGAATGTGCTTGACAAGTCCCGTTGGAGTGAAAATTAAAATTGAAAGGATCAACAAATAAGTAAATTGTCATTTGAAGCATCTGCCGAGTTAAATGCACTGCTGCATAAAGATAGTTTGAAAGGGGAATGGGATGTGCACACACAAAATAGTATAGCGAGCAGCTATAGGTCAGTAACACTGAGAAATAAAAAAAGAAGTAAAAACGCTTACTCGTGTGTTGCTTCATTTGATCGATGTGATACGTTAATCCAGTTTAGATACATCCATGCTACTCACATGCATGTATCCTCACCGCTAAGTTGCGGAGAAGACCGTTAAGCACATGGTTTGGTTTACGTTATTTCGTCTTTCGAGTGAAACGGACTACATCAATGAATCCAAGTTGGAAAGCGTGTCATCAAGGCGTTTTTTGAAGAGCGTTAATGTAAGGGCAAGGATGAGGTGAGTCGGAAGGGCGTTCCAGGTGTGGGAGAAACGGAAAGAGAAAACGTTCCGTCGACTGTAGTGTATAGCCAGTTTGTGCTGCTGGCCTCTCAGGTTGGTATTTTTGCTTACCTGCAACAGATTGCGACATGGGTGAATTGGGTTTGTCTGTATTAAGTAAATCATGATGGGTTCTCCTCACTGACGTCGATATTCACCACTATACAATCTCAGAGACTGCAGTGTGCGTTGGTAAAGGAGGTGAAATAATCCACCAACGAGTTTGGTTACCCTACCTTGTGAAGCTTCATGTGTATCGACGTCGCGCTTGCGCCAGGAACGCCAGGACTGTGTCGCATATTCCACGTTGGCATTCACATAGGCGTTCAACATTTGAGGAAAGATTGATGGCTCGAAATTTCCGAAGAGTTCAAGATGCTGACTGGCTATTTTCGATGTATTTTCAGCCTGTATCGAGAAGCCAAAATCGTCCTGTACGATCACTCCGAAATCGCTTTCCCAGGAAGCATGTTGCAACTGCGGGTCCGCAAGTCGATGTCCATGGGTAAGCTGATGGCGTATGCTCACGACTTTGCACTTCGCCACGTTGAACTGGTGACGGAAATGCATTGGTAAGTTGCCTGCTGTGTTACTTTGTCTATCTGTGGACCGGTGCCTATCGTCTTTATACGCATTTCAGATTGCAGCATTGTAAGCTTTTTGTGCCACATTTTGAGTACATGTTCTGCCACCAGTTCGGAGATTTTCATGTGCGTCATTAAGGCTCTCAGAAACCGTACCGCATGCTTTTCGGATTCGCAAAGTACAAAGTTGTCGTCAACATACTGTACGTACATTTCAATCTCATCGATGTGTATTCTAAGTGGGCAATGTTCTGATTTCGGTACGAAGATATCTACTAGCAGCGACCACAAAGGAGATCCCATGGTCAATATATCAATCTGACGATATATCTCACCATTGAAGGTTACGTGAAGGAAGAAAATTGATCTATACGCTTAGTAACCAGGCTCCGCAATTGACCGTTCCGAAAAACTCGGAACGGTATGTGTTTAACCTTTCCAGTATGATACTAAGCTGAGCACAGCTGGACTTGTTGTCATTAGACCTCAAGTTTTGCATTCCACCTAAGAAAATAGATCAGACGGGTTTAGAGTTGCAGTTTGAAATCCTAATGGTGCAGACTAGAGACCTGTTTCCCACCTCATCCAATGATCAGGAGTCAGGGTCATTGAACATGTTCTCGATAATTCATCTTAAGGCATCTACAATTATATGGAAATCAAAAGGTGTAGATAGACGTTACCAATCGTTACTCCCGGAACGAATGAAATGCTAACAGTGAATATTGACAATGGCTGTCATTTAAGATAGACAACAAACGACCGTCTATGACCACGCGGGTCAGAGGTCGCCAGCCGTTTGGGTCGAGGCACCTATCCCACAACGCCCAGTAGTGAAAGAAGTTGAGATACTGTCGTCTGTCAAACTTACAACGAGTGTAGGTGGTCTTAATAACCGACCAATTCGGTAAACGTGGTTCTGCAGAAAGATGGAAAGTACCATACTAAGTATATCAAACAATGCGTCTAGACGCGCAAGTTAGGGCCACATGTGGTGACGAAATGGGATGCAGACAATTGTCGTGATAAGCAGCATCATGGTATGAAAATTAGATCAACAGCGTAAAAACGTAGGGAAAGCGAAAAGAAATTCGTAGAGATAATAGTAAGAAAATATAGAAAAATCAACAACAAGATAAAAGGAGAAAAATGCCCAACCGCCATCGATACCACGATTGCAGTATGCATCGATTTCACACAGTGGCAGGTGGAGCTACTAAATCGATGGGAAAGCAGCAATCAGGGAGATGAAAAAAGGGAAAACCTAGAGAAATACCGGAAGCGAAAGTGGTGAAAACAAGGTAATTATTTTGAGGCAAATAAATAGCACTGAAACGAAAAGTGCAATAAAAGCGAACTCCCCTATGTGAGCAAACGGAAAGGTATCATTTGAATCAGACACAAGAGAGGGGCAAAAAACCGCAGGACAAGTATAAAAACGTTCCTCGCAACAATTGCAAAACTGAATTCTGAGTCCACATGCATGTGATGGAAAAAAAACTAGAACAAATAGTCGAGGATAATTAAAGGTGTGAAGCTTAGAATGAGCAGGCTCAGTGTGACAGCTTCTGTCTCTATATACGTTGAATTTACTACATTATATCATTTCACATACACATTATAGACGGGTAATAGGCAATTCACCATATCATTTTATAGGCATGTTAGCGCATAGTACCAAGCTTTCAGCGTGGAACCTTTTCGAAATCGCGTGCTGTGCTTTCAAGTTCGCGAGGCTAAGAACACTGCCTTTGCGTCGTCGACAGTCTCATTGGTCATGGGACGTTAGCCAATGAGACACCGGTTGGAAGCCCCGAGTATAAGCGACAGACAGTCCAATGAAAGTGGCCGAGCACCACCTTATGTGCTGCTCTGATGAGCAACTGAAGGAAACCCCACTGACTTCTCTCCGAACTGAGAAAGTACAATGGGCAACGTGTGATGCCCGCCTAAGGAGGAGATCCTACCTACCACATTATCCGAAGCTTACGCCGTAACCAGCGCAAACTGACATGAGAACCATCAGATAAAGCGGTCTACACTTATGGATCGCATGCCGCGATCTGGTGGTGGCTTAACTCAGCGGCTAAACGAAGGTTACGATGGTGGCGTAGACAGGCATTCATCAAACTGGTATTCCGCGGTATCTCAGATCTGAGAGAGTCAGCCATGCATGCTTCGTGGCTAGAACATAGCACACCTCATGCTGAATCAGCAATGGCTACTAGGCGGTTGGACAATTTTCTGCGATTGTTAATGCGATGACCACGGGGGACATTGTTTCTTTTGAAGTAGATAGGCCAACCTAAAGCTTAAGAACGAATGCTCTAGGGATGATTAATTCTATTACAGTTGATAACTAAACACAAACATTGTTCAAACTAGGATGATTCCAAGTGTGGCGGTGACACGACATTAGTGTGTGTCCGTTTGTTTCCACACCCATGGGCGACTTTGTTAATTAGTTACGCCTCAGTGTCGACAGGTATGGCGTTATTTGAAGATCATAGGAAGGATGGGGAACTTACGTATTCATAGGATAATCAGGGTTTACTTCCATATGGTCGCCCATAGGTGTGGAGACGCTTTCATAAGTGGCTCTCCAAATGTCACCATTACAAGCAAGGTAAACGCAGATGGAACCTCCCTATTACTTCCATGGACTGGAATGCTATCCTCATGGAATCGGCATTACTCAACAAAGGAACACCTAACTGGGCAACAAAGAGTACCGTATTTACAAATGCCACATCGTCCTGTAGGGAAAAGCGAAAAGGTTGATAATTAGTGGCGGCACATGCATTTTACTCTGGTAATTCAGGTGAGTAGTTGGAACAGGCAAACACTGTTGTCTCACCCACGGAGGTTCACACAGCATGTTTGCAATCATTTAAAAAGGCAACCGCGCCCACTAATCCTGTTTCAGCCAGACTTAAAAGCAGTCATGTGTGCACGCCGTAACACACGTTGTTGTCGACTTGGCAACTACTCGAAAACATTTTGTCGTTGGAAAGTAGGTAGTTCCGGAAGCATTGTTGAAGGAGGAAACTTATTCCAAACTTTATGCTTAAAATGCGTATGCAGTGCTTGTTGGCGGGTCATATCAGGGCCGTAGGGTCACATTTGCTATTTCAAGCTTATTAATCACATAGAAGTGGGGCGTAAATATCATGTCGAAGCACAGGATTGACATGCATCTTACGACGTACAAATAACGACGGTAACTGATTACCGAGGTGGTCCATAAGCGAGGAGACGAACGAACACTCACTAATGTCGTGTCACCGCCACACTAGGCATCCTCCTTGTTGGAACAATGGCTACAGATCCAATGATGCTTTTACCTACCCAGAGAATTTGACTTCAGAATACAATGCGCCGACTACCTCAGCAGTACCTAGCTACACTATTCACATGAGTGTACAGCCTAATGAAACTTCAAACTTCGTATGAAGAAGATTCTGATTTCCTCCCTCTGCCTTAACAATCACATGCATTTCCTAAACGAAATCGCAAACCTATCGATTCTCCAGATTGCTCGCAGCGGTACGATTACACTATGCAAACCGTAACCCGTGTGACCAGATAGGCAAGGGAGCAAGAAAGGCAACGCTTCTCTTCCAACAGCCTGCAAGCGTTGTAGCCTCAACACAATCTACCAATCCGCTTTTTACCACCACTCACTTAGATCTTATCTCGTTCGCGTGGAAGTCAAACCTGTTTACGTCAGATTGGCAACATGACCTACCAGATATTATCTCTCCGATTGGCTGGTCACCCTAGACACCATAGAATTGTGTTGGTACAACGACTGCGGTCAACAGAAATGCCACTGACCAACCGAGCCAATAGTACAGCGAACCCGCAAGCCTGCTACCAGCCTGCAAGTGGTTTTGAACAAGATAACAGTTGTTCCAAAATGTGATCTTGTTTAAAACCATCGGCACCTTCCGTACCGCACTAATGCGCGCCTGAAGGAAAGCCGACGTGTTCTCTCTAAAGGCAAAGCGTCCAAACGACATGACCGCAAGCGTGCATACGACTGCACGCGCGCAGAGCGGGTGTCCACCATGATCATCGCAATAAAAATCGCCTAGTAGCCATTGCTGATTCAGCATGAGGTGTGCTATGTTCTAGCCACGAAGCATGCATGGCTGACTCTCTCAGATCTGAGATACCGCGGAATACCAGTTTGATGAATGCCTGTCTACGCCACCATCGTAACCTTCGTTTAGCCGCTGAGTTAAGCCACCACCAGATCGCGGCATGCGATCCATAAGTGTAGACCGCTTTATCTGATGGTTCTCATGTCAGTTTGCGCTGGTTACGGCGTAAGCTTCGGATAATGTGGTAGGTAGGATCTCCTCCTTAGGCGGGCATCACACGTTACCCATTGAACTTTCTCAGTTCAGAGAGAAGTCAGTGGGGTTTCCTTCAGATGCTCATCAGAGCAGCACATAAGGTGGTGCTCGGCCACTTTCATTGGACTGTCTGTCGCTTATACTCGGGGCTTCCAACCGGTGTCTCATTGGCTAACGTCCCATGACCAATGACAGTGTCAACGATGCTAAGACAGCGTTCTTAGCCTTGCGAACTTGAATGCACAGCACGCGATTTCGAAAAGGTTCCACGCTGAAAGCTTGGTACTATGCGCTAACATGCCTGTAAAATGGCATTGTTAAAGGGAGAATAGGTAGAGTACACCAGTGTGCCGCAACATTGGTTCGCCGTCAAGCGACCGGCGCCAGTCGCGCGGAGGTTAGAAATACTACAAGGTCATACGCACTTAATGAGATTCGAATCGGTGGTCGTTGCGGCATAGCCACTCACCCGCTTGACTTCAATGAAAGTGCTCCGTGGATTGTACCATTCCATGACGATGATAGTTTTCTCAACCGCTCCACATAAATATTTCACACCGTTATAAGGATTGCGTATCACACTAGCGATATGACATCCTTGAGTGTCAGGCACTTTCGTAGTAGGCTGAAATCGTCTGGAAAAGGAAACCGCACAATTGTGAAAGAAATTTGAAGCAAGCGTTAAGATAAAGCGGTAAAATAGCAAAATAGCTACTAGAACTACTTTGCAAAATTCAGTATGACGGTATAGCGAAAGAGTAGACAAGAATATTAGCCAAAAATAAAGCCATAAAGGATAGATAGTGGTTCTATCCGAATGCCCAATAGATCTGTATTAGAGTAGCCGTGATGAACCACTAGATAGAGACCTGAAGGAAATGAAGAGAAAACAAGGGCATGACGACTATCTTCGGATTGGAAATGTGCATCTGTGAGTATGAACACCGGAACAATATGATGTGCAACGCGTCGGTAAAGACCGAAATAGAATGAAGGTGGCATGTAATACTTCAACCATCAAACAACTGCGGTTCGGAAGGGTAGCTGACGCACTTATCCTTAATTGAAGTGTCACACAGTAACCCGTAGGTAACAAGCGCCTTCGTGAAGCCTTCAAATTTCGCTAGGCTGTATAACTCCTGTCTAAAGAATTTACTAACACATGCTTTTCGGCACAGTAGTAAAAGCCCTTTGCCTTCAGTTATCAGTGTTTTACTCTGCAACCATGGATATGATCGTTTACACTAGCGATAATTTGAAATTTTTGCATGCTTTCAAGCAAATAAATTGGGCACTCCTTTTAGGTCAAAACATACGAAACAAAATAAAGGAATAAAAAAGATGCAAAGGAATTCTACACAAAAACATCGTGCAGGATGGCAGGTTGCACTTCGGAGGAAACATACCGGAGGTATGAGCGTAACTGTTTTACTCAGAACTAATATTCGATCGATACTTGGAAAAGCAGACATCAGAAGTGTCATAAAATGTTGGGAATAACCTCGCTTGGGCATCATTTTACTGCAGTAAATCTGGCTTCATGTTGTTGTCGACGATGCAGCTGTGCAACTCGACGGATTAACTCTTCGTGCTGACCGTCAATGTACACAGAGGAACCGCGGAGGTGGCTTTATCATTAGGATTAGTTCTTCATGGTGCACGTCGATTAAAAGTATTTTTCAATACAGCCAGCAAAAAATCCGCTGTTTAATCGTGAAATGCAAACCAAAACTGCTAAACGGTTACCGTTCGATTTTATTGGCTAATGTTTATATCTCTTCCAGCTGTCCAAGCTACGAAGTCAAAGAATTTTCGACGGACTTGCAGCTGCGGTCCGCAAATACTTGGAACTCTCGTTGCGCATAGCTGTCGGCGGTTTTAAAAAAGCTGACACTAGCTTCACTGCGAGAATTGGGTTAAAGAACATAGTTGACGAAGTGCAACCATTACGCCAGTGCGAAAGAAAGAAGCCTGCAAATATGGACCAATTGTATGCGTTGGTTGCTCTGAAGACATTTGAGGCCTATTTTTAAAAGTATCTCAGTCCAGACACTTTTGAATAACCCATATCAGTTCGCATATCGCAGCTGCAGATCCACCTAAGATGCAGCAGCCTGTCTGGTACTTACTGTGCCTACGTCCCTGAATAATATAAACAAATCCATCCACATCTGCTTCGTGGATTTTACCAACGCTTTCGGTTGTGTGAACAGTGAAGGACTGTTGCGCGATCTATTAGGTCCGGGAGCTCAAACTCCTGTTGTTCTATTGAGAGATTATTTCACCAGGGGTACTCAGGTTATCAGATTAATGGAGAAAAACTCTTCCTCACTCACCACGAACTCTGGTGTTATTCAGGGAGCCATTTTGTCCCTATTCTTGTTTTCCTGTTACGTTACCCTAATCCCCGCCATTGAAGAATCCATCTTACTGAAGCACGCGGACGACGTAATCAAGCAAGCATAGAGTTATGATCCAAACTACAACCCTTTCTGGACAACCTCACAGTTTGGTCCAAATCGCGTTGCCAATTGTTCAACACCTCAAAATGCAAGGATGTCCTTTTTACGCTATCCTAAAGAAATCGCTACCAGCAAATCTTAATGCAGTGTCCGTAAGTCTGCATCGACGGGGAATATTTGATTGCTTCCACATCAGTAAAATACCAGGGAGTGAAAATGAGTAATAAGCTTACGGGGTACGTGCACGTAAACGAAGCATTCGCTAAAGTTAGAACACTCTCATTCTATGTTACACGTCTCAGGTCTTTTTGTACCCCGTTTATTGATCCACGTCTTGTCACAGTATGTGTGTTACCCTACTGGACCAATTGCTCACCTGTTATCGTTCCTGGTAGCCTGAGGAAACACCTCAAAGTAATTGCCAGATCAGTGAAGTATCTATGCCGGCAGAACCCAACCATGTCAACGTCTGTAGCAAGCTTACATCAAAAATACACATTGATGTTAACCATCTTCTTCACAAACCGTTGCCCGAATACGTATCAACCTCCTCGACTAGAAGGAACGTCGTAACGCCGCTCCGCTGCCATGCGACCATCACCAGTACCACGCGAGTGGGTTATACAGCGAGGACGCCAACTTCTATGCGGGATTCGAAGCCGCGCCGGAAGATTACGAGACAAGCTCGTTACTTCTAGGCTACGGGCCGAAGTACCCAAGCTACCGTGACCTGTGCAATGTAGCTCAGCGGTAGGAAGTATGTCTGATTCTAAAAGCCAACGAACGCCATCACTACTAATGTGGCTTTGCAATCGGAGCAATGCCCGTCGAATAGTACAGGAAGACCTAACACTACAGTGAGGAGAAAGTTCTTCTGAACTGTGAGGCAGACATTTGAAACTTACGGGCTACATTTTGCACTACCTGTGAGAGATCGGGAGTTACGGCCATGTCGTCTGCATACTCAACATCACGAATTCGCTCCCTCGGAAGCAGATTGATCATTAAATTCGAAACTGTCCAGAGAACTCTCCAGTACGTCATCCATAGCGATGTTGAACAGAAAGGGTGATGCTTGGCAGTCCTGTCTCATGCTACATGTGACAATGAAGGGAGCAAAAGCCCCTCATACATGTGCACTGTTGCCGAGATTCGGGAGCAAATGGTTTGTAGAATGTTATCATACTTCTCAGGTACTCCCCTACTAAACAGAAAACACCAGAGCAGCTGGGTCAACTGAGTCAAACGTGAGTCGTATGTCTAGGAGGACAACGATCGTTAGCCGACCAACGTTAGCGACGCACAAATATTTATTGAACCGTAAAGATGTGATCAATACAGCACCGGACAGAATGGAACCTAACTTGTTCTTCGCATATGTCTTGTTTTCGAAACAGGCTCAAACTCCATAAAAGCGCGATATCGAGCACTTTGGACGCAACGCAAGTAAGAGTAATCGCCCGAACAATATCCGCTGGGACCTAACCGGATGAAATTTTGCTAATGATCTAAATCGACTAAAGGGAAGTCAACTTACGTACATGCGACGAGTTTCCATCTCTGAAACGAGAAAGAGTTCGTCTAGAAAGTAGCTTTGTAGCGTTTCAGGAGTCGAAGCGTATAAGTAACCCCAGTCTCAAATGGTGGTGAAGCGTCTACACATCAGAGAGCACCGTGGATTGCCGGAAGTATGCTCATCGGTATTGCGGGCCAATAAAAATGCTGCTTGAAGCGCTCAGTCCAATACACAAGTGGACGTTGTTGACGGTGGATTGGATGGACATTGGTTTCGCACACCACGTCACTTACAGTCCGTTTCTGCTATCAGTAGATAAAGAAGAGGAGCTTACGGAAGCACTACGATACTACCGTTTGCCCAATCTCGATGATATGCGCTATCTACCAAACCAAGTCATCCCATCGGACGAATTTATTGAGCTCGACACTGGTAGCTCTACGTTATAACAGATACTCAAGGGAAGCGAGAACTGCGCGACGGGCTCCAAGAAGCTACCGAAACTTCTGAGATTTAGTGGTTATCAGGACTACTAGTGAAATTAAAAAGCAAGGTCGCAGAGCTGTGTATGGTCGTGCGTCCAATGTGTCTCGATGTTTGAACAGAAGGTACTCATGAGGCTTGGGCCAAGACATCTTGAAAGTTGCTCTGAATATTTGGGACAGAAAGCTTAGGCACGTCAAGCCGTTTCTGGTGAGGCTATTGCGTACCATCAAAACATAGAGTTAACTTGGCACACACGAGCGCAAGATTTGTGGCAAGGCATGTATTCAAGATTAAGTTGTATTCCTATATGGAGCCGCGACAGCGTAAACTGATGGTGACATGGTCAGTTTGTTTCCACATTTGTCCAAGCGATGGAGGTCCCAAGGTGACGCGTGGATGCCAGGAACGCCGGAAGCTGGTACTTGGAAAAAACAGACCATGATCGGCGCAGAAGTGCAATAAGTCATCACCACTGTCTGTCCCGTCAACACCATGCCTATGGTGACCGCCGAGTTCAGTTACGTCAAGTTCAAGTGTGCTGATCTGCGCGTTTGGGTTTCCGGTAAGCGTCACGATGTCCACGCATCGCTTTTTTGAGGTCGGAGAGTAGAACAGGTCTTTAACAGAGCCAGAGCTGCAATCTTTTGTAGAAAGGGCAACTACAATGAACAAAAGTCTGTTGGCTCTGGGTCCAGGCGATCATCCTGGGGTTTCTAATTGAATCGCAAAAGGCCGGCTGTTTAGAGGGATGCCGTCGATTAGCGCAGCCTCAGCACGTGCACAACGCAGTACCCGCACCGCCATGATCAGCGACATCAGCAGTTGGATCTCTAGATAAGCGTAACGAGAAAATACCGGTGGAACTTGCAGACGGTGAAACCAGCCGCAGCGTCATGTTAGAATTCCGCATGCAGGTCAATAGCAGCGGTTATTAGGATGTAAATACGTGCAGTCTGTGATCCAATTTGCAAAAACGTCTGAACACGGAAGAGAGTCAGCTTGAATGGGAAGCGGTGCGCTATAAAAGGCTTTCAGATGCGATTGAGCGGCGTACCCTCGGATCTAAACCCTCGAGGCGAACGATGAGGAATATCGCCCAAGGCGGCACGGTTGTAGACTCGGAAATGCAGTGGGGTGACCAAAGATGGAAGGATTGAGTGAAGGTAAAATGAAGTAGTTGGACTATGGTGCAGTAGAGTGCGATTTAGCAGATACAGACGTCAGCACCTCGATCGAAGTTAGCAGTTCTTGTGGGGAAGCAGTGCAAGCAGAGAGATGTTGAAACATCGGTCCATAGGTCGTGTGGGTGTAGTACTTCTCGGACATGAAGAGCAGATACTAGGCACTGAGAAGTATAAACGAGATAACGTTATGGAGCGCCGTGCAAAGTAAACTCAAGGAATTCGTATGATGTGCGAACGCAACGTAGTTAACAGACAGTAACCTCAGTATGGTAAAAACATAGTGACCAGTACGGAAGGGTGATGTTTAATCTACTGTGGCCTAGGCTGTTTCTGGGTAATGAGCCAAAACAGCGGTAAAGCTGGTGAATGGAGGTGCGCCAGGAAAGGTGTAGGTTGGATGCAAAATGTGGCTCATGACGACAGAAGCACAGAACCCAGTAAACACTCCTCAACAACTCGAAGCATGCAAATCAAAATACTTACGAGCTCTAAGGTGCAATCTGCCAAATTCACAAGGCTGAGATAATAAACGCCGTCATTCGTACCGAACAAAATGATCTGACCTAAAACGTAAAGAAGAGATGCAGTTGTTGATAGCAGGACTAAACAACGGATTGGTATGAACGCAGTTGGTATAACAAATATTACAATGGAGTTGTAGGGGAAGTTAGACGTTGCAAATGTAAGTTGGCACAACTAAACCAGGTCAACAACAATCAATGAAATGCCAGAGGCCGATTTCGACTGCTTGAGATTCGTTTGGAATGTTTTAAACTCACAACCCGGTGGTGGTAAACCGATATTGGAGAAGAGAGGATAACGAGGACCAAAACGTTGGGTGCCAGTAGGGGTTGTTAGGGCGTTTTGGTAGAAACAGATAATTAAGAGACGCAGCAAAGTGTCGTTTCCGAAATGGTGGATACATGAATTTCTGCAGTCGATCGGGTGAAATAATGGATAGAACCACTAAAAAAGCAAGGCTGGTAATTATTGTGCACCATGGATGAGGATATACCACGGCTTACTACGTGTTTCCGGGTCAACCCAAGTGGCAGTTGCGTTCACTTTCAGAGGACATCCCTCAAACAGCAGCATGAAGCAAGCGCCCATCTGAAGAAATCCGGGAGGAAACAAGAATATCACCCTATTAGTAAAAGAAATTGACGGGAAAACGTTCCGCAGATGATAGGCACAAAAGTGAGAGAGCTCCGGCAGGTGTGCTGAAGTAAGTGTACAAGATCATCTGAAATGAGTAAGCCACAAGTTGAACAAGAGAGGCAAAAGCATCGCAATCCATTGTAGAATGCTATTCACAGAGCCAATCGAATGTTACTCAGAGTCGTAGACAGAGTAAGAAAATCGGAGCTTCGGTCAGAAAGACTGGATTATTACAACAAAGGATCCGGATGCAAGAAAGCCCAGGGTCAAAGATAAAAACGTCTACTGAACATTTGATTTGCAGACGGAGCTCAAGTTCTCAGAAATGGGGTCAACGGTGCGCTTCAGATGCATATCGCCTAATCCGGAGAGATTGATAGGAGTAAACGATATTTGGTGTAATCTGGGATTGGTGACGATGCCGGAAAACTGAGGTCTATCGTTGTATCGTGGATGAAACACGGATAATGCACAGTTGGGAATACTTCAAAAACGATGTGACAACCACACAAATATTAGAAAGGGGCCTTTTCAAATTGCGACGCTTCTCGTGGAACAAATAACTCATTCCGCGTGTAGGTGATCACGGTGTAAGGTGGAGTTAAAAATCGACAAATTAGGATAGGTGAGAGAGCGAAATGGAAGTAAAACAATACTACAGATACATGAGTGAAGAACAGCAGTGAAAGTAGGATGGGGATCTCAAGAACTTAAGGGTGCATCCTTAAAATATCATTTGCGTGGATTATGCCACTAAACCAGTCAATTGAATCACGGAATACGAGCCAGCCCTGTGGTTGGAGGGCAGGAAACTTAGGTAACCTGATCGCGAGTAGACGGAAGAGTCAAAAAAAGGATTGACCACAAAAACGCAAAGTAAGCCGCAGCGCCTATAAGAAAAGATGTCACAGAAGAGTAAGGAGGCAATGATGAGAAAACAGGTACAACTTAAGCGCAACAGATGTGAAACTTACGTGCACTTTTGGTGTGGGGGGTAGCCCAATACTTAGGTCAGGTGGATGTAGGCGAGCAGCATACCTGTCATCTTCACCGATCCCACGTGGATAACCCGCGGGTGAAAAATAGGAGTCTAAGCGTGGCGGAGGAGGTCTCGGAGGTGCGTCTACCGTAGTGCCAGCCAAGTCCAAGTTCGAAGTGGGCCCGTGGGAACGCTCATAGCGAACAACAACTAGCGAGGCCCCATCAATTCTATCGCCATTAGCACGTAAATCATTCGGCTGATTTGCGCCCCGAGAAGGCAACCGCAGATCAACCGAGTTGTCCGCTGTCTCGTACAAACAAGGGGCACTCAAAGACGGTAGAGATTCCTCGGTAGAGACAATTGGTGGAGGCGGGGGTGCACGTCGCTTGGATCGGGCGCGACCGAAATTACCGGGGGGCGTAGTGATACCGTAGGGAGGAGCCTGTTTCGGTGGTGGCTGCTACACATAACAAAACACAGAATGGAGAGAGTACTAACGTGCTACTGAGAAGCTGTAGTAGCAACCAAGGCGGCTGGGTGCGTTAACATGAAGTGTTAATACGAAAAATACTGAAAATTACAGGTGATAACAGAGATTGCACAAAGGGTGGTACCATAAGTCCATTGAGCAAACAGGCGAAGTGAATATAGGGAATAATAGGAATGGTTCGAAGTTTTTTATGGTAGGTGATCAGCTGAGCAAAGATATGGGAGATCGAGAGGAGAGGATGAGAAATGAAAATAGAGCATTGCACACATAATACCAAGTAACAAATACATACATAAGGACAAAAAACAATGTGGTTCAGATGCAGGAGTGGGAAGTACTGATGGCGCATTACTCAAAAAAACGACAAGGTGAATAAGATTGCGAAGACCTTAATGGGTGTAATTGAATAAAGATTTTAAGCAGCGAAAATGGACGACGGCAAGAGCGCAATTCATCCGATATGCTGCGAGCTTCATATAAGAGCATCGTCGAATGTGCACGATAAGGAAACCTTCTCAGCTACTCCATCAACTATGCAAGATGTTACTGCGGGTGTCTGCATGGACCGATTTCGATATATTAAGAATTAGGATACAGGTTAGCAAACGCTTCCTGCAAGTAGGCAAAAGCGCTAGTGTCGAAATGAAACGTGAATGAACTGTGCTAACGGTTGGGAATACACCACAATGTGCCACAAGTCACGGAGAGCACATTAATATTAAAGCACTGAAATTGGTAAAGGATCTTAAAAATAATGGAGTCAATAAGATGGTAACCACGAGGATCCCCGATCAACGACTGCATGGAGATTATGGAGGTAGCGCTGATTTCCTATGCGAAAGATGTCGACAGCAATGACAGAACAGTGCTGGTAATCCGACGTTATACAACCAGAAAAAGGGATAAGAACATACCAATAAGATTAGTGATAAAGTGAATATAAGAACAGATCAACAGTTAATCAACAAGAACTCTCATAAATAGCAGGCTACCGTACAGGCTAGCCGGCGTGCTTGTAGATTTCAGCAACACATTAGTTCGTTGCGTTGACATATAACAGCGATTATTTAATGGACACTGGCGGACCAACAAAAAGTATTTAGAAACAGAATGTTTACATCTCGTAAGGTGCGCACGAACACATCTAGTCGTCGAGTGTGACATGTGACTCAGCCTGCGTTCATCTATCCTTATCCAAGCTGTTAAGCAGTATATTTCAACTAGAAATGGATAGCAATGTGCATCACAAATAAACAGACCCAGTGGCAAATGGATGCACTATTATCTATTACAGCTCAGGTAGCTTTGCGTTACAAGATAGGGAGAGAGAGCTGCGAGTGGCCTCACATAACAAGTAACAGAGGTTAAGGGCAGTAAAATGAAAGGTCACTGCATGCAGTACAGTTGGTGGATCAGAAGCGCAAGTGCTCTGTGTCTGCCATGACGAGCAAAACCGTGGGGTCATTGAAAGGGTTACGACGGTTAGTACTGTGGCATGAGTTCGGCTCTGTCGTTCGAACGCGCTTAATGGATTATAAAACGGTGGTGTGAAGGAGCCAGAATTTCCCGGACCAGAGGGGCTATGCAAAGCAGCGCATCGGTTCAAACCACCATTTAGAACGCGCGACCAAAGCGTACACCAGAGTTCCTTATAAGATCATACAGTAAGATGATTTCTGCAACAAAGCATAACATGCCAATTCAGTGAGTACCGGGACTTTTGACGTGCCTTTCGATAGCAATCCCATTGGCGTTCGCATGATCGTTATGAGTTTTGGGTTGATTAAATTAGAGCAGTAACATAAACGTTGACGTTAACAATATATCCATTATAACACCTTAGAATAAAATAAGCAGGGGAGTTTTATTCAAAGAATCTGAGGTGTTTAAATTATATGATAACGTCAAAGAAATACCCAGTGGCTCGAATGTTTAGGATGAAAAGCGAAGAATCGATTAAATCACAAAATGAATAAGTTATGCGATTTGTATAGCGGTAAAACAATCCATCATTTTCATGGGCCGATAAGCAAATGTCCATCCCAAAATATTTCTATCATCCAAGGTTGAAACGAAAAATGACGAGCAATGATCCAACTTACTAGTTTTCATATTGACAGCAACAGAGAAATTGGTCAAGGCGAGACAAACACAGGTCAAATCGCGGGATAAGTTAGATGGTATAAGACTGGCAGATTGAAGCAAAATATTCGCTTACTTATCAAGGTACCCTGTCAAGTAGAGGTCTTAGCCACAAACATGAACAGGAACTATTGCACAATTGCCACTCGACTGTACACGCTGGACTGTGCGTGTAAGACACCAGGCGAAACTATGTGTGGGTTGATAGTCGTATACACAAGGGGGTCGGTCGATGAAAGTGATGTTAACAGTGAAACCAGATAAGTGTAAAAAAAGACAACATAAAGATACCCACTTCCTACCTCTTCAAACTACCAATGTAGGCAAATGAACAACATCAATGCAGCTTCATTCCGCAGGCACATAAGTCAGCGGAAACGGATGTGGAGCTTGGAAAAACTAAGGTGATACATGTTTCATTAGCATGTATGGAGCTCAGACACTTAGTGAGCTGAAAAACGCACGCATCTACAACAGTGACCGTTTCCAGCGGTCAGACAACAGCGATAACAATGCTGCCCTTCAGGCGGAGACTACATTCAAAGCCGATTTGATGGGAGCAACCTGACAAAGTAGTTGCGAGAGAGAAAACTAGTAAGTAGGATCACACAACTTCAAAACAAATCCCGTTCGTCAATACTCCAATGAGACCTGTTCCCCCAGCTAAAGGGATAACAAAGCGGTCAGTCAAGGAGGCGCGTAATTGATATCGACGAGCGAACTGTAGAGCTGATCATAATATGCCAACTCGGATTCCAAGCACGGCCAAAAGTCCGAGGAAGTAATATACCATTGAAAAAGACTTTTGAATTATTGTACCCCTTGGTAGCCGAGAGATGTAGCTTTCCTAATAAACTCGAAATTCAACCTATGTTTGTGTATGCGTAATGTGCAACAATCGAATCGTGATGCTGCAACTGGTCGCGAGCAGCATGAGGGATATGATTAAGGTAAAATGGGAAGGCGATGCAACATCTTACCATTCGTTTTCTGTTGTCCATCATCACACTAACTCTGATCTCCGCCGAAGTGGAATCTTCAGATTGAGAATGCGCATGGAGATCATTCATTTCTCTGACGAAAATGTGGATAAAAACCCAGTTATTCAGAGATGGGAGGCGAATATGCATTAAAATCATGCACATGAATGCAGTATAAGAAAAGTCCGTAAAATGAGAGTAATTATAATAATGTGTCAGCTGTACGCCGTAACGGCGCTTCGCTGCCGCGCGACCACCACCAGCCGCGCGCGGGCTGAGTATACTGCGAGGACGCCCACCCCTACGCGGATTCGAACCGGTGACCTTATGGTTGCAAAGCAAGGCGGGTGCTTCATCTGGCACCATGAATGCGCGACGTGGTGGTTTTAACTGCGTGAATTCGCCGTATCCGATAAATTGAACTCCTGCAGTGCGGTAAACGAACGATAGAATAAAAAAGAAAATTATGGTTGGCTGATGCGCGTTCGGTGAAAAGGACGGGTAAGCAGGGCATGAATTAAAAAAGTCGAACAGCTGAGCGAAATAAATGAAATCCGCTCTTTTAAATGCGGAATACAAGCGTAGCGTATCACTTGGGGTAGCAAAGAACATGAAATGTGAAGCGACATTATTGAAGCAGATAAGTAGTGGGCGTGCACAACCTACTGTGTATGCCGGCGCGTAGCCTAGAGGTAATGAGCTTATCTCATAATCCTGCGGTCAGGGTTCGAGCCTGCGTAGAGGCAGGGCGACCCTCGCAGTATCCTTAGCCCGCGTGCGAACGGTGGTGTTTGCGCGGCAGGGAAACGTTGGTAATGCGTACCGGCGTACTGCTGATGCCTGCTTGTGAACGGTGCACGAAAATTTGGCTTATTGAAAACTTGGAGCAGCTGAGCTGGCGAGACAATCTGCGGAGTACAAAGCTGTAGTAGAAGGGAACTCCATGGGAAAACATCTACAAGGCCAAGAGGCCATGTCGCTGGAAGTTCCAAATATTCATAGACTCGTAACGTGTATTGATACCAAAATCTTTGGTGATTATCTGGAAAACATCGATCACAAAGGCTAAAAAATGAGCGTAGTTGTACAACTGACCAAAAAAGTAAAGCATCAGCAGAATATCGGTACGTATTACCAACGCTTCGCTACGGCGCAAGCACCACCCGTCGCTAGTGGGCTAAGGCAAGTGCGACGGTTCCCCAACACCAACGCATATGCGAACCCGCGCAGTCAGATTAAAATGTAAGCTCGTTACCTTTAAGCTACGGGCCGCCGCGTCTGTCCATCATCCTCATCCTCATCATCGTCATCATCATCAACAATAACATTATACACGTAAGCTAAAGGTGAAAAACACCGCAGCTACTGTGCCGCAATACACAAAATAGGGGGGAAATGGAACAGGCGCAAGCCACCTGAGCTACCGGTAACGGATGGGCATCGTTCCGAAAAGCTCCTAGCCGGCTACTAAGCAGGAAAAAAATTTACTATGCAAAATGATATTAAGCTGATGTGATATTGTATTTGGAGGGGAGGCTGAGGGAAGGGTGGGACAAAGAAGGTTCAGGGCACGAACATCACTGAGGTCGGCTCCTAGTCATGTCAACAAATGGATCCAGACAAACGTGTTCATCGTCTTTCGGATCCCAACGAGGGAGCCGAGACGCTAAATCCGAGGCCAGCTCAGAAGTGAGGACCTTCATTCCTCTTGATTAAGTCATCGCTTGGCCAAACCTTCCATCCACCGCCCCGGCGCACAAACAACACACGTCGCGGGAGTCAGTGGGCTGGCGTGCTTAACAGGTGGTCCAACCATCGGAGCCTGGTGCGTAAAGTAACGGTGCTGAGTGGTTCATTTTCTTTTCCTGTGCCGTAAACAAGGCGTCGAACACGCTCGTTGCTCACGCGGTGTTCCCACTAGATGTTAGCCAAACTGCGAAGACACCGGTGGTAGAAAGTAACTAGCCTCTTTAGGTCCGCAGATCTAAGGGGCCAGGTTTCACAACCGTACAGTAAGGTCGAACGCAGCGTTGCATTGGACGCTCTACCCTTCAGGGCGAGAGTGATGTCGCGCCGGCGCCATAAGTGACGAAGGTAAGCAAAAGCGCCTCTAGCTTTTGCTATACGGTTCGTGATCCCATCTTTGCCGTAAGCCCTCACTCTGCCCGAGCTACGCACATATAATGCTCGGATAATATTTACATATTTCTTAGGCACACCTTTCCTGAGTACACAATCCCAAAGTGCACACATATCCACCGAATCCAGTGAACCTTTGATATCGAGGAACACGACAACGGTGGGCTGCCAATATATGTGACGCTGCTCCAACAACTGACGTAAAGTGAAGATGTGGTCAATGCAGCCACGACCACGACGGAAGCCGAGTTGCTCTTCAAGAATATGGCTTTCAGAAGTGACTGTCAGTCTGTGAAGGAGGACAGAGGCAAGCAATCTGGAGGCGATGGAGATCAGACTGATTCCTCTATGATTGCCGCATTACGATCGTGAGCCTCCCTTGAAAATTGGGACTACGATGGAGCGGCTCCAGTCGGTTGGGACAGTTTCCTTCTCCCAGTTGCACTAGAAACTCATGTAAATCATCCACAAGAGCAGGTCCCCGGAACTTGAAGAGCGCTAGAGGTAGATCATCTGGTCCTGCGGCTTTATTTAACTTCAGCAGTGCGATCTCACGTTGGACTTGCGAGCGAGATTGTGGATCCAAAGGGACAGCCCACGGAGCGGAGCGATCAATGGCCAGTGAGGAATCGAACAATCCTGACAGATTAAATTGTCTTTAAAAGTGCTCAACCCAACGCTCCAAGCGTTTTGACAAGTTGTGGATAGGCTGTCCACTCTCATCACAAATTGTTTCACTAACACAAAGTCTTCTGCTGCCCGTTTCCCGTATCAGCCGGAATAACTTACGATGGTTAGCAAGGGCAGCGGCCATTCCCATCTCTGATGCACGATGAGACCACCAGGATTCGCGGTTTCTCTTCAGGCTAGCACGGAGTTTTGCCCGGCGCACTTTGCGAGTTTCATTGCGTTCGCTTCCAGCCGGAATATGCCGGCGAGCATCTATCAGTTCCAGAGACTGCGAAAAGACCCAATGTCCACGTTGGCGATTAGACTTACCACATGAGGATTTTGCTGCTGCTAGTAAGCACTGGTTGATATGAGACCAGTGAGCGTCAATTGCATCCAGTGAGCGCTTACTCAACTCGCATGACAGCGTAGTTTGACAGGCATTCAGAACCGATGGCTTCGCCAGTTGGCTGGTGGCAACGCGCTCACAACGTCGCCATGGGTATCTGCCAAAACGCATCCGCAGGTCAGAAAATACATGGTCGGTGTCCACACCTGTGCTCCAAATCGAGCGACAGTTCTGGACGCAGCCTCTCCATCGGTAACTTCCTGCAATGGGATCGATTTGCGTCCATAGCTGATTCCAGGCTGGTGGGATCCAAGTCACCCTCCGGTGGGTGCTGTATCGGAAATTAGTGCTTGCAAGAAATAAGCGAGCATCTTCACACAAATGAAGTAACCGCTCACCGTTATCATTACGGGAGCCCAAACCATGTTGGCCGCCCAGATGCATTTCATCAGTGGATAATTTTGCAACTTGAGCGTTCAGATCCCTAGCCAGCACTACAGTGTCCGTGCATCTTCTGTGGCGAAGGAGCTGGGTTAGTTGGCGGTCGAAGTCGTTTTTTACCGAATCATCGCTAGTTTGTGGGAGCGTAGGCAGCAATGACGAATAGACACCGAGTAGTCCCGCGCGACTTCGAAACTTTGGACGAGCCAGCCAGTCGGACCGCACACAACTGGCTACTGATTGGAATCCAGTCAACCAGAGCAGTTTCAGTCCGGGGACTCAGGGCAATGCAAACACCAGCTTGGCCGAAGCAGGAAGGTGCATCGCCACCGGATAGGCGCAATGAGAAAGTGATGTTGGTGTCACCTGAAGGGAATCGCAAAGTGAGCACAGAGCTTGAGTCTTGCAGACGGGTCTCCGATAAGCAACAGATATCGATCGAGAGGGCCTCTAATGTTCGGACAAGTGCTGCCTGTTGACCGATCTGTAGCAATGTGCGTACATTGAGGCATGCCAGTCTGAAAGATGATCGACGGCTCCAAATGGAAGCCGATGAACTGGGCTTAGCCGCTTGCTTGGACATGGGCTTGTCGACAGGACAGGAATGATGATCCTAGTTCACATGTGAGTTGAAACTAGAAGGTAAAAGCCTAGCAAAACAAGGTGGGGGAGGGCCAAGAATTGGGGTGTTGAAATCAGGGGGGATAAAAATGAAGCTGGAACAGGACAGTAGGAGAAAAAAGTGTAAGAGGAGGAGTAAGAAAATGAGTAGGCTTGAGTAGTAGCATACAAACCCCTATCCACCCTGCTGGGTGCAGCAGATAGGGCACCGTTGATTAACCTTTGAGGTGGTCAGAGCATCAAGAAATTGTTTGACGAATGATTCATAGTATTGCGTGGGCAGGATACTGTTAGGTTGCCCAGGGATAAACAACAGAAGATCAGGAAAAGGAAGTTGGGAGTGCAGAGAAACTCAGGTGCGAAAGCGAGTACAGATTCTGGAAAGTGATGGATGACAGTCCAGCTTTCTGCAGGCGAACAACCATTGGATATTCCAACCAGGTCTCCATGAGTTCATATCTGTGATTATCAACTTGTGAGGCGGAAAAGATTAAATGAGCTAAGGAAGCGAATTGCAGACGACAAAACTAAGTGCCTGGTTATGATACAGGCCAAAAGCACCGTGTGGATGACAGGACTGACACCAGAAGCACAAAACTAACCGCAAACAGCTAATCGTCGCATACTACTGGGAGTGGTCTCAAGCAAATGCTGACCCTAAGCTAACTACCATATGTGTGACGGTGGTACGGAAGCGATAACCCTCCATTGGAGGAGGGATGTAAAGGGGAGGGGGTGGGCAAAAAAACTGACAACACAAACTGGGTTATTTTCCAAGCTACGGTTGGTGTGATCATTGCGGAGAAAACCTTTCAGTCCAGAAATAGTAGTCACAAAGCCACAGCCAAACTGCTGGGTCACCTAAAGCGGGGGAGTGCTGAGGGCACTGGAAGAATCGACAAAAAATCGCTGGCAAACAGATGAATCGAAGGAGCCCAATGCTATTAGTCCCAGGAGCAAATGTACAACATGCAGGCCTGAAACTCAAGCTGGACCTGACTGCCATTCCACTAGAGGTTGCGGAATTGTATGGCTTGTTATATGACTCAGTGTTGCATTTTTACTGATATGTTTATTAGAACTCGTGCATAGTACAAGCTCTAATTTTACGTCACAAGAAAGAGTATCATCAAAGTAATTAAGGTAAAGGTAAATTAATGATAAAGAAATGTCTTGCTTTAGTCAGAGGTGAAACGGTAATATCAATCATGCTGAGACGCCGATTAAAAGGGTTAGAGGGCCAACGATGAGACAGCAGGTCATTGTGCAGCGGTGCTTGACGGTGACAACATGCAGCACAGATCACCCTAAAGATGAAAGAACATGCGAATCGAGAAGACGCTCGATGCAACAAGTGCGCCGTGTGTTCCTCTTGATAGTTTATCGATCCACCTAGAGTAATTCTCCACAGGTCATTTTTTCAAGGTTCTATGCAAGCTTTTGCTTATCAGTAAAGGGTTAGCAGCAGCCATCGGATGAAAGAAAGTTGAGCATTTCGAAAGTCATAGACTGAGTCAATATGAGCGATGAAAGCATGAGCATGGAAAACGAACGGTCACAAAACGATGTACAAAACTTGTCGCAGTAAGCTGAAAATGTGCACATCTGGATGTGTACAGCCAGCATTGATCTGACGTGAGCTGCGGCATCAAAACCCCGAGCATAAAATTAAATGTAAGATGATAAAAGAAAGAAAAACGCATAGATATGGTAGTTCCCAAGTGGTGCAAGCGAGAATATGCTAAATGTGCCATCACAACCGGAATGTAACGATGTTTCTGTATTGATGCAGGCCGGTACACACACCCAGCGATAGCGAGATGGGAAATCCAACTGTGCGTTTAATTTTGTGAAAAAAGGTTCAAGTCAACAGAAAGAAACTGCTAATCTAGTAGGCGACTGAAATAAAAGAGGTGATGCACCGTGAAAAGTGTATTTGACAGCCAAAACGTAATCACTTCGCGCAATAACCGAACAACCAGCAAAATGGTAGATAGCATCACTTGTCCAGGCAGGTTCACCAGCTTCGGTGATCCGGTAGACAAAAAAACTGCCGTGTGATTTAGAAAAGCTCGAGATGCTTAAATCATGTAAGAAAACAATGAGCTACGCTTATCGACCAGCTTAGGTTTGGGAGTTCTGGCGGTATCCAAGCACTTAAGCCTGCATGGGAGTGATGTGTCAGAATAAAGTAAGCACGTATTGTCGATGGATTATCAATCGACAGCAGAGTGTACAACGCCTCATCGGAGCCAGTGCCACTGGATGGATTATGGAAATAACATACTGAAGACATTGAAGGACTGGTCCCCCAGCGCCACAAGTGCCTGCGAAGCATCGCTCATCTTGGTAACATAATCAATTGAGTACCGCCGAGGATATGGGCACGAACTGGCTGACGATGCAAAGCGACGCAGTGCCAAGTGTCCTACAGTACCCGAGTGAAAGTCAACGCCATCTGCGCCAGTGCGTAATGTTTTCGTTCAAGCATCTAATTGGCAGAGATCCCTGGAGTACCAGACGATAACATGCCATAAAGGCATGAAGAAAATGACGGAAGACACTCAAGATACTGCATGGGGCGTTAGGATCAGCAATGTCAGTAGCTCAGTTGTAAAGAAAGCGGTGCTCACGAACAGTCTTACACTTCGTTTTACGATTAAAGCTGTTTTCGTTTAAATCATTTGAAAAAGGCAATCCCACTCACAAAGTATGCGGATTCATGTTGGCAACTTGCACACGAGGTTCAAGTGTCTGACTGTTTGGAGGGTCAATACAACTGCGCCGCTTTTCGAAAGCATCCATCACTTCACGCAGTAGATCCTGAAATGAATATGAGAAACAAGTCAAGAAGACAAAGAACATTCGCTTTCAAGAAGTAAACACTATAAGATTATGCAAAGGCTACAAAAACTGCATGCAAACAGCGCGGATTATGCTCAGACTACTTGACTAAGACGTAGGTGCGGAGAAGACTCCGGAAAATAGAAGAAACTTGAGAAGTGCGCGGGTAACTGAAATGTAAACCTAAACGGAAGTGAGAATGCAAAGCCAGACATATAGTAGTATCGAAGAGTTTGAATTCCAGTACTGAGTGCATGATTGTTAACGTATAGGACCACCGCGACCAGACTGAACCATAATGTGGGATGACAGTTGCTTTAGCTTAGTTAGCTGTGCTGAGCAGCGTCTTCCGACAAGGTAATAACTAATACCAAGAGAGTTAGTCATCCGTCTATAGGTAAGAAGTATGTGGGAATGACCCCACTCCGAGCTCTACTTTAAGAATAGAGATTATACCAAACAAGCGACTGAAAGGTTAAGAGAACGTGAATAAAAGGCACGCTGGAACCAGACCCGGCTTGATCCGGGATGTAAAACATTGCTATATGCGAATTATCATAACCACCGAAGAACAACTGCCGTATATTACGGAGTATAAGGCCGTCTATGGATGGCCCGACAGTATGACTTAACAATATAAAAAGTTGTTCAAAGTCGTAAGTTCTTATAGTAGCCGACTCCCAAGAAACCAGCAAAACGTGAAACGAAATTGTTTCTCCACGACTTTGAAGTCATCACTACCTGCTTTCACTTGAGGGTGTTCAAGCGAAATCTGCTCTACTATTGGTCAGTTATGGTGACCGTTTTGATTCGCCACCCAAAAGCGTCATATGATCCAGCTAGGAGGGAATGTGCTTTCATTTCGTACGATCCTCCAAAGTCATTGAAAGGTGAAAAAATGTATCAGCAGAAACGATGCGCATTTGTCGTTAGCTTTACTTTGAAAGTAATCGAGTTTGCCAAGAAATCCAATGATTTTATAGCAGCATTCCATTTCACCGTGAATGTAAAGGGAGAGAGAGTGGCAAAAGCAAAAGTTAGAATATTCACTAATGCGCGTAATCAAGAAAGCAACACGCGGTACAAAGTCCATGTTTCCCGTACTGGAAAAAAGGGCAGGGGGTTATGGGGTCACGGCACACCACACAAAATGATGAGGCACTTCAAATCCCAGTATGGGATACCGTCCGTCACTAGCGGGTTGTACTAAGGGGAGATTGGGGCAAAGATGTGCAGTGAATTCCTGAGTGGATTTCTCATGTGCCTTTTTTCAGATTGTGCATAACCTTTTTACAAGCCGACCCCCATCTACAGAAAGGAAAAACTGTCCAAAAATTATCGGTGTATATTCGGTAGTATACGGTATGTAGTGTACGATCATCTCAGTTGCCTAAGAAACTGCGTAAAAAAGTGGATGCTGGAGCATGGAGTATGCGGCACGAGACTGCTCTCAAGACATCAATAATACATGGGGGTGTCAGGAGAGAAAAATCTCCCAGAAAAATTCGTTAATTAAATCGGAAAACCTCCTTTGGTTGACTTACAAATGCCCGTCAATATCACACTACTTGTTTCTATTTCGGTAGCTGATTCTAAACCACGCTTTACCACCAATCTTCGTCTACTGATTTCCGGCCGGGATTCGGAATTAACAGACATCATCATCACCATCATCATTACACACGTTAGCTGCAGGCGGAAAACGCAGCTATTGTCCCGCAATACTAAAGACAAGAAGAAAAAAATACGTGGCACGAAGGCTGAGTCCCCAGTAACGGATGGACATCGTTCCCGTGAGCTACCAGCCGGCTATCGTGCTGTAAAAAGTTATATTCTGCCTAGCGAATGAGATCGTGATTGGAGGTGGATAGACAAAGGAACGCACAACACAAGCGCCACTAGGGTTGGCTCCTAGCCATATCAGCACGTGTGTCCAAGCAAACATGTTCATCGTCCTTAGGACCCCAGCCAGGCAGTCGGGATGCACCAACCAACGCCAACTACGAAGTAAGGGTTTTCAATTCTCTCAACCAAGTCATTGCTTGGCCTCCCCTCTTCCACTTCCAAACGTATCCCCGGCGCGCAAACAATGCACGTCCCGGAAGTCGGTGTGCTGGCATGCACAACACGTGGCCCAGCCATCGGAGTCTGGTGCGTGATATAATGGTGCTAAGCGGATCACTCGCTATTCTTGTACCAAATACGCGACGCCGAACACGCTCATTGCTCACGCATGCTCCCACCAGACATGAGCTAAGCTGCGATGGCAGTGATAATCGAATGTGACGAGCCTCTTCATGTCTGTTGACCTGATGGGCCAGATTTCACAACCGTACAGTGGGGTTGAACGGACGGCTGCGTTATAAACTGCACTTCAGGGCAAGAGTAATGTCGCGTCTGCGCCACAGGTAACGGAGATTGGCAAAAGCACCTCGAGCTTTTTCTATACGGTTCGTAATCTCAGCTTCAATCCCACGGGCGCTAATATAGCTGCCCAGGTACTTGAATTACTGAACGACTTCTAACTGATCCCCAAAAAGGGTCAGCGCAGTGGTGGGTCCCTGCCAATCGTGGAGGAGTACTTTGCATTTCGATGGAGCGAAGCACAGCCCAAAAGGATTGACAGTCAGTGCTAATCGGTCTAGTGTTGCTTGACATGTTTGGAAGTTGTCACAGATTAGGACAATATCGTCCGCATACTCCAAGTCAAGAAGTCGCTCTCCAGAAAGTAGCTCCACACCTACTAGGTTATGTCCAGCGAACGATGTTTCCATAACTTCACCGAGAGCGAAGTTGAAGAGGAAAGGTGACAGCGGTCAACCTTGTTTCACATTGCTGGTGATACTGAAGGATGGCGACAGTCTGCCATAAACCTTAACTCTGCCGGAACTATGTGCGTACAGCGCATTCGGCCGGTGGCCGAGTGGTCCGCGCACCTGGTTTGCAACCATAATTTCCGTGGTTCGAGTCCGCGTAGGGGTGGGCGTCCTCGCGGTATACTCAGCCCGCGCGCGACTAGTGGTGATCGCGCGGCAGCGAAGCGTAGTTACGGCGTACAACTGGCACATTATTATTTTTTTATTATTACGTATTTACCAGTCACACCTTTCCCAATCAGACAGTCAAAAAGAGCACATCGGTGGACTGAGTCGAAGGCACCTTTTATGTCAAGAAACACAACGGTGGATCGCGAATAAACATGGCGGTGCTCCAACAATTGACACAAGGTGAAGATGCGGTCGATGCAGCCCCGACCTCGACGAAACCCGGCTTGCTCTTCACGAATCTGGCTTTCACGATTGCCAGTCAGTCTGTGGAGAACGACAGACGCAAGTAATTTATAGGCGATTGAAATCAGACTGATTCCTTTATGATTGCCGCATTGCGAACGGGAGCTTCCCTTGAAAATTGAGACAATGACGGAGCGGTTACCGTCTGTCGGGACAGTGTCTCTTGCTTCCAAAGTTCCACTACTAACTCGTGTAAATCATCTACTAGAACAGGTCCCTCGAATTTGAAGAGGGCTGGGGGGATTCTATTTGACCCTAAGGCCTTATGCAATTTCAACAGCCTGGTATCACGTTCGACTTCTTCGCATGAGGGCGGATCCAAGGAAACGGCCCAGAGAGAAGGGCGCTCAATGCCAAAAAAAAACCATAACTCAGGTTGGTTAACTTGCCTTGCAAAGTGTTCGGCCCAACAGTCCAAGCGTTTCGACAAGCTGTGGATCGGCTGTCCACTCTCGTCGCGTATGGTCTCGCCACACCAGGTTTCCTGCTGCCTGTTTCCCGTATTAGACGGAATAACTTAAGATGATTATCAACGGCAGCGACTGTTTCCATCTCCGAAGCACGATGAGAGCATCAGGCTTGGCGGTCTCTCCTCAGGCTAGCACGTAGTTTTGCTCTGAGATTTTTGCGAGCCTCATTGTATTCGCTTCCAGCCGGAATACGTCGCCTAGCATACATAAGTTCCAGAGACTGCGTAAAGACCCAATGTCCAGTTTGGCAAATTGATTTGACACATGAAGACATGCCTGCTGATAGTAACATTTGACGAATATGCGTCCAGTGGGCACTTTGACACACGTTCAGAACACCTAGCTTCACCAGCTGGCTGGTGTCAATCCGTTCAAATCGACGTTGCGGACGTCCACCGAAACGCACCCGGATGTCGGCGCAGACAAGTGCGTTTTCAGAGTCCACGCTAGTGCTCCAAATCGAGCGACATTTTTGGACAGAGACTCTCCAGCGGTAACTGATCGCGATATGATCCATTTGCGTCCATAGCTGGTGCGAAGCTGGTGGGTGCCAAGTCACTCTTCTGCGGGTGCTGTGTCGAAAGTTAGTGCTCACGAAAAAGAGACGAGCATCTTCACACAGCTGTAGCAATCGCTCACCGTTATCATTACGGGAGCCTACACCGTTAACCGCCCAGATAAAGCTCATCAGAGAACACTTTTCCTACTTGGGCGTTTAGATCGCCAGCCAACACCACAGTATCCGTGCTTCTTCTGTAACGAAGAAGATCGTTAAGTTGCTGATAGAAATCATTCACCGAATCTGTGCTACGGTTTTTAGCGGTGTATGCCGCAATGACAAACATGCACCGTTTGTTCCCGCGCGACTTCGTAGCATGGAAGGTACCAGCTAGTCTAACGACGCACATCCGACTGTTGATTGGGATCCAGTCGATCAGGACAGCTTCCGCCTGGGGACTCAAAACAATGCCGACGCCAGCTTGACCGCATTTGAAGCTGCATCATCGCCAGACAGGCGCAATGAGAATGTGTCGCCAGAGTCGCATGTGGGGGATCGCAGAGTAAGCACGAAGCACGAATCTTGCAATCGGCTTTCCGATAAACAGCAAATATCGATCAAGAAGGTTTCGAGTGTGCGGGCAAGTGATACCTGTTGGCCAATCTGTAGCCAAGTGCGCAAGTTGAGGCATGCCACTTTTAGCGAAGATCGAGGATTCCAAAGGGAAACGGATGAACCGACGTTGTCCATTTGGTTGAATATGGACTTGTCGACTGGATTGGAGCGACGCCCTGCGATTGTGTATGAGTTGAAACTAGAAGACAAGCGACTATTGAAGCAAGGTGGGGGGCAAGTACTGGGGGCTTGAAAATGGGGGGATATAAGTAAAGTTGGAGTGGGACGCTAGGGATAAAAAAGCGCAAAGGGGGTAATAAGAAGACGGGAAGGCTTGAGCAGTAGCATCCAACGCCCCATGCACCCTGCTCGATGCAGCAGATAGGGCACAGTTGATTATTCTCTGCGAGGGCCAGAGTATCAAGAAATTGTTAGGAGAAAAGTGCCCAGGCCTAGACAGGAGAACGATTAGGGTTCTCAACCAAAGCCTTTGGTTCAAAAACCTTACCACAATGCAGCGGGGTTTTGCACTGAACTACAGAGAACCCGTTTTATGGAGTAAGGTGCCACCCTCACTCCAACCCCCAACCTGGAAGGCTAGGAGACTGAGTTTGTCAGGCCTGTAACCATTGACCAACCTGGTATGAGTGGCTCTGAAGGTGCAAAAAAGCACCACCCAGCATAGCTCAATGGATCACTGAGGAACACAAGCCATTGCACCACATTAAGGTCCAGTCTCATCACGGTGGATTAACAGACAACGATTTCAGTTCAAGCGGAATCGCGCAGACAGAGGTAGATCATGACAGGTGGTGTTAAATTGGATTACCGGTACAACACATATGCCGCGCTAGTCAGAGCAGTTGCATGAGTCATAAACGCGGTCATTGTGCGTCATCAGTGCGACATCAGTAAACTACAATAAGTCAAAATATTCGTAGATCGGTCGGATGTCGAAATGCTGATTTGTTTGTCGTGCTAAGCAATCCACGTGTAGACGTTCTGTCACCAATCGATGTGACATTTTTAGTGCATAGTATTGGTAACTTCGCAGTGGCCAGAGTATCGGGCAGATCCGGGGCTGGACACCACCGGCTAGCTCGCTGCCCCTATATACGTTTCGGATGTTACTAACTGTGATTCAACCAGATTGATAGTCAAATATCGTACTCGGAAATGCTTAAGTGGTTTCCAATGGTCGCACTAAAGTTCGTTGCAATGAGAGACGGATTCCTTCAATCACAATGATGTGAAAGCTGTTTTAGCCGCACACGAAAGGGTATTTTTAAGCACTGATTTCCTTTTTCGCAGCTATCGATAAACGGTCTAACTCGATCCGTTTACTTATTGTTCTTGGTAGACAAGCAGGCTTCGAGTAACTATGATTAATTGTTTTTTCGTACATTATATATCCCCTTATGGCGCAATAAAAAATGTGCCCTTCTTCATCGATGTTTGATGAGATCAACGAAGATGCGTATTGCTATTTTGTAGTATCATCTGTGCTCTACCGTTCGACTTGACAGTTCCTTCTCTGCTTAGTACACGTAGTTCATTTTTCAATTTTGGCAGTAGTCTCTACACAACATACCGTTGTTGGTGCACTTAAGGTTTTCACCCGATTTGTTCGAAGCACTTTGCTTATCACTAAGCACTAGAGATGTCACCTGGATTAGTGAGGAAATGTCTACAAGCGAATTGCCCAGTATAGCGAACAAGTTAACATCTAACTCCAAGAGATAGGCTGACTCCTGCCATGCTAATCTAATGAAAATAACGAATGAGCAGTCGTTAAGTCCACCAGGTGGTGAGTGATAACAGACGTTACGATGCACATGATAAACAGTTAGCTAAACTGAAATCGACTATGTCAAACCCTTGGCATGGTTGCTGACCGAGTGTCCCAATGTGCATTGCTTAACAACATCTCACACATTTAGGCGAGGCACCAAAGTTAGCAAACAGGAACCAACAGTACGTAGGTACACAGTACAGAAGCGTTGCTGGCACGTAACCATCATCAGTCGCACGAGGGCTGGGTATACCACGAGGTTGCTCACACCTACGCGGATTCGAACCGGTGACTTCCTGATAATAATGCAGTTGCGCAATCCTTCCGGACACCAACTGAGGTTAGCGGTCAATGATGAGATGAAGAATAAAGAAGCTTGACAGAGAGCTGGTCAAGGCTGGCACATGTAGAGTTTCTAGAGGTCAGCGACATCAATGGTCAAAATGGTTATCCGTCACTCTGTGGTAAAGAAGTCAGTGGCGTTTTTAAGTAAACAGGCTATTTACGTTCGACAATACCTGTCTTCATAGCATAGCTCATACCTGGTGGGAACACCGCTTAAGCAATGAGTGAGTTCGGCGTCGCGTATTTGGTGCAGGGACAGCGAGTAAACCACTCAGCGCCGTTATATTACGGACACGGCTCCTATGGCCGGGCCACGTGTTGCGCAAGGCGGCACACTGACCCCCGCGACGTGCGTTGTTTGCGCGCCGGGGGTGTAGATGGAAGAAAAGGAGGGAAGGCCAAGCGATGACTTGGTCAAGAGGAATGAAGACCACTTCGAAGTTGACGTCGGTTGGTGCATCCCGACTGCCGGGCTGGGGTCCGAAGGACGGCAAATACGTTTGGTTTGACATACTTACTGACATGGCTAGGAGACGACTCCAATGGCGCTTGCGTCGTGAGCCTTATTTTCACTCTAGATCCCGCTTACCTCCTTCGCACTAATCACTATTTTACGCTTTTGATTTTGCATGGTAATGTGTAACGTCTTGCATTTCGTTTTTTCTCGCTGCATATATCTTGCTTGTATTGTGACATTTGAGCTGAAGTGTGTTCATTACCATCAGCTAAAACATATTGATGATGATGATGAGGAGGAGGATGTTTCCTTACTTGTGACACGTTAATGCCCCATGTGGCAAGTCGAATGCTTGCGTCCCCATCATTGGAAGTGATCCTTATCCCTCCATTAGTTTTCCAGTGCATTAAAAGTATGATTTTTGTGGTAGCGGGAGTTAGAGGAACGGAACTCACAGCGATTCGAAGCACGGGAAACATCATATCGAGTGAAAAATACTGAAAGCTAGCCTTCAGAGGACAGAACAATACCCTGGATCACCATGTCCAGAGTAAGAAGTGAGGTGGAAACCGTCTCAGTGAAAATAGTTTACTTTGTGGATTGTGACGAAGTACGTGCCACAAACGTTTAAGTCGGCGAAATCTATCCACAGTGTGAATACTTTAGTTGATCACAGACGTTTCCAAGTTATTTTATTGTACACAAGTGCAACATTGTCAAAAATACTGAACTTCCTACGTGGCTTCGTTGATCAGCGCGGAGTTAACTTCGAGAAGCCAGCTTTCCGCACGAAATAACTCTTACTAGGATATACTAACAATGCTGTTTCAAACTAAAAGTGAACGGATATCGATGGGATGAGAACTCCTCCAAGGCAGAGATGGGCCGACATCTACACAAGGACGCTAAGTCTGTCATTTCAAGAATGAAATTCTGTTAACGATGAGGTGACGACTCATCCGGCGCAAGCGACCCGAGGGGTGACTTGCGCAATGTCTCCGACTGCCGCAATAAGGTGCACCCCAATGCCAGTTGTAAAGCAATAACACAAAAGCAGCTAAAATTCACGAAGTAGAGATAAAAGGAAAGACGGGTCTGCTAAAAGAAGTACTGGAGGAGACAGTTCATGAGTTTCACAGTCTATACTATCTAGTCACAAACGATCCTTAGGGCGTAAGCTATAAAATAATAGCGAAAGCTGAAGGTAAAACAAACTGGAGTCCGCGCAAGGTTCAAAACATGCTGTTTAAAGGGATCCAATAAGAAAATCATTAAAATTGGACATGAAATGGATACAATACACAAAACAAAGTTGAACAAGGTCCTAAAATATGGGGAAAGCGCGCTTTGAAGTAGCTAATGAAGTTAGATCTAGGAATCACCTCAGAGCTCCCATGGAGAAGTTGAACATTACCCAGAGCACTATCTACAGTGCCGGGACCGCCAGTTTTCGCTTCTCCAGATGGAGCACAGATAAGGGCGGTGGGATCCGATGAACGACTAGGGCCAACGCGAAGAACGGAAAGAGGGACCACATTGGGTTGTATCGATTGTTGACCGTCTGAAAGTGAGGTCGGTGTTGATGCTGTGGAAGCCTGACTAAAATCAACGACATTTTCCGGGGAATATCCATGAGAAGACTTTGGAGGTAGTGCTGGGGTGCCAACAGATGTAGGACATGAATGCTCTCCGAATCCAACAAAACCGTTCGATGAGGGTCCCTTGGCAGAGTCAGCCATGATGACCACGGGGCGAGAGTTTGGCTGGTACTCAGCACTCACTAATTCTGAGGGCATATTGGAACAGGTATCCTGCGTCTAAGAGTTGAGTAAAAGGAAGAATCCGAGAAAGCAGAGTAAATTATCACCTTCAAGCGCAGAAGATGGAATGGCAAAGTGGACTTATTGAAAATGCAGTCTACGCATTTGAAGTAACAAAAACAAAATAAACACAGTGCCTATACCTGCTCCTTTACACGGTGCTGTTTTAGCGACCATGGAAGAGATGTGGATAGTGTACCGCACTAGGAACATGGTGAAGTAATTGTGCAGTGTCTAAAGCATGTTCAACACTGTGGATCGAAGAGAATGGAGGTCGGTTCTCCTCCTCTTAACAGCCGAGATGACCGAACAACGGATGAATTCAGAAACAATGAGGATTGCCGAAAAGGCACATTCACGAAGCAGGACAGTTGTGGAAGAAGTGAGGACTAGAGATACAAGAACAAGAAAGTGCAAGAAAAGCCTCACAATTCGAATACAAAGCGACTTCGGCACAACAAACCTGGTTAATATGGAGTCCATAAAATAGTGACTTATTAGTTAAATTTGTTCAAGAGTCTAAAGCGAAATACAGATGGGAAGTGCGACCTGACTTAGCTAAGGGACTGAGCCAATTCTAAGATGAATCACTGGTAAACAGAAGATACGATTCGGTGCTACTCAGAGTATCCTTGGGTTACTGGTGCTCGATCGTGTAAATAGAAACAGCAAGCTAACACAGTCTCAAGCTGGTTTGTTGGGAACAAAGGTGCCAAGTCCATTTGAGAAACAGTGGTCAGATAAAAAAGTAATATAACGTAAATTTTGACATCGACGTATTGTGAAGGAAAGATAGGAACATGAAGACAAAAAAACGGATAAAGACGAAATCTGAGATTTAAGAACGAAGAATGAATTCAGGAGAAAGTAGTATACAGGCGGATGAGCTGGAAAGTGAATAACTCACTGCGATGCAGATAACAGCTGATGCCACATAGTAGACAAACACACAAGGAGTGAATAAACACGCGAGGAATGAACGAATAACAAACGTGGGGATAACGGATCGAAAAGTAACGGCACACAAAAGAAACAGCAAGCCATAAACAAATGAGAAAGGCATACATATGTGGGGTTTTGCCAAACCCCGGTGCCAACTAAACAGACAAAGATGGAAAGTAACCAACCTATCAGGTACGATGATGGAAACGAACATAGGGGAACGCGTCTGTCTCGTCTTACCAGCACCCTTTCGGAAAATGAGTGACTATCAATTAGCTGTGCATTGGAAAGCAACCGCGATTCACTGGTGGGAAACAAGTGCCTAGTTGAGACAAACTGTGGCACAGGTAGCTGTTGATCGGCACGAACCACCGTCGTGAGTGTCAGGTCTGGGAGGGGGACTGTGGGTGAGCAACGGTCTGGCTCCAGGCTACGCGAAAAAAGTGCGGTTGGATGAGAATCTAAACCGTTCTGCGAACTGACCATGAAAGGTTTACACGGAGCAACAAAAGGTTGGATTGGTGCGGAAGCTGGTTGCTGTTGTTGTGGATGCAGTGGCGGCGGCAACTGCGGTGGTTGAGTTGGTTGTTTCGACTGCATTTCCAGCTGACGCTTGAAGTTGAGCAACCGCTGAGTCAATTGATTAGATAAAGCTGGATTGGTCACGAAAACGTGCTTGAGAGGAAAAGAAAAAATAGGGGTGGCTGGTATCAGCGGGAGGCAAGGGTTAAGAGATGGAAATCGATGCAATAAGATGTAAAAAGTTAAAGCGCATGGGTTCATTGAAGGTTGATTAGTATAATCAAAAAGGTGACACATGAGTAACAACAGGAAAAAAATTTAGTAAATAACAACAGAAATGTGAAAGGTCAATATTGTGCGTTTGGATCGTAAGCTAGGTTGGAATCACACATGGATGTCCACAAGACGGTGACTTGAAATGACAAGCATGGAAGACGTAAGAGTAGACACTATAAATAAAGAAGGCCACAATGTCGGACAAACGAGAGTAAATGGATTGCGTAATGTGCGCAGCCACCCTAACGACCACAACGATATTCAGCCTAAACATGATTCAGCGGTTAGATCACGCCGTCCATCCAGTAGGTCACGATGGATGACGTAAAGTTCAGTGTCATTCCTATCAAGAGTCGGCGGTTAGAGGTAAGATAAGCTCAAACTCCTTGTCATTGCAGTCGAAGGTTTGGAGTGGGCTGACACGTACTCCAGTGGAACAACCAGGTGGTAAAACACTATACAACTTCATCATATCTGGGGCAGCCCATTGAGCCAAAAGCTGGGGCTGAGGACTATGATAGATCCCTTATTTACGTTTTGACACTGGAAATATCTCAGGTCAGAGATGACAATGGTAACATTCCAAAATTCAAGCCCTATATACACCTTTGTGCAGATTCAAAACAGTCACCCTATCTGCTGCATACAGTGAGGCAGTGAAAGAGAGTGGCTAAGTGCCGATGCCTCACTTTCCCCAGTGGATTCACATACGCCCCTCGCATTTTCTACTATAGCAATAGCGGCTATAGTATCAACGAAAATTTTCTGCCTTTATAATCTGAGCCACAAAGTCAAGTGGTTTACAGCGATCATAAACAGTTCACTAGGCTACAATGCCTGACCTTCTTCCTGGGTTGCATTCAATGTAGAATCCGACAACAGCAGTAAGCTGCAAGCGAATTCACACCGGGTGCCGTAAGCTAGTGTATGTGCGTGCGTGCGAGTGTGATACTACAGGCCACAACGATCACTGCGCTAGTGAAATAAATGCGCCTAATTTAACACTTCGTCATTGGAGGTGACGTAGCGACACAGGCCAGAGTTAAGTGGCTTCATGTTCGAAAAGAGATTGTCTATCGGTGTCATACAATAAAACTTTTGTCCGTTTAACCTCAGCTAAAACGACAACGCGAAGCAAACATAGAAGTTGATTGATTGGAAGGTCATTTTGAAGCACCAGTTGTGTGTGAAAGGATTGCGACACAAATGTTACGATGCTTTTTATTATACATCGACAAGGAAATCGTGGTTGGAGGCCTACACAAGCAACAGAGGGAAGGACAACGAAACACAACACAAATGCCATTGTGGTCGGATCTTTGCTATTGCAACTAGTGTATCCAACCATGTTTATCATCCTTCGGACCCCAGCCCGACAGTCGGTAGACACCAATCGACGCTCCGTTCGAAGTGAGGGTCTTCATCGATTGGCCTTTCCACTACTTCTTCCATCTGCAGCCCGGTAACACAAGCAAAGCAATTTGCGGGAGCCGGCGTGCTGCATGCGCAACACGTGATTCAGTCATTGGAGCCTGGTGGGTGAAATAACGGTGCTGAGAGGTTTCTTCGCGCTCCGTGTGCCATAAACAAGTCAGCCAACACACTCCCCGCTCATACGGCATTCCCAACAGATGTAATCTGAGCTGCCAAAGCAGCCGTGGTCGAAAGCAACTAGCCTCTATGTTTGTCACTCTGATAAGGCAGGCTTCACAATTGAGCATTAGGGTTGCACGGACGGTTAGACAGTAAACTCAAGCCTTCAGAGCGAAAGCGATGTCGCGTCGCCGCAACAAGCGGTGAAGTTAAACCAAAGCGTCTCGAGACATGTGTATAGGTTTGTCACCATATTCTATTCTATAGGTGCTGAAATAGCTATCCAGGAAATTGGCATCAGGGGACTTAGTTTTAGCACATCTATAGGGGATGAGAGCGGACACTGTAACCAAATCTTGTAAGCATGTCTGGTAGGCTGGGCTGAGTGATTTGAAAAGTAACTTAATTGGGCGGGACTACCAGATTCGCTACAGACCAGTGATCGCATTACTCCATCAGCTCTACCTTTCGATGCGTCCTCTCATGCGCAAGTCGAACGTGAGATCAGGCTGCGAAGTCGTATAAGGTCACACGACCGGATGGATTTGCCTCATTTCTCCTCAAAGTACAGGGATTACTTTTAGTGCACGAGTTGCACGACAGTCTCAACCGAGTGAAGTTGCTCTGTCATACGCCCGAGTAATCAGTGGCTCATGTTCCGAACGTGGCAAGTATAGAGATACAATGTTTAATCTATCAACGTCAAGTTGCTTGACTTTATCCCTTTTGATAAACTGAGAAAGGTCTGTGAAAATCAGATCCGCGGAAAGTACACCGGGTTTCATCGAATTCGGTGCTGCGTTGACCACCTCTTCACTTCGCGCCCGTTATTGGAGCATCACCACATATAGTGGAGACATACCATAATCCAGTTCCTCGACCTTAAAAGTGCCTAGGATGCTGTGAACTGATGTGCCCCGTTGGAACTGTTTGATTAAGAATAGTGCCCGATGAATTTATAATTGGCAGATGGATTTATGAGCATAGTTCGGACAGTGATGGTTTGTGGATAGCTGTCGCCGCACTTCGATATCGCCAGCGGTGTGCAACAGGGATGTAAGCTGTGCTCATTGTTAACTTAGTTACGGACGAAATTAGGAAAACTGCGTTAAGTGGACAAGGCTTGGGAGGCGTGGAGATGAACTTCTCGACTTGGAATAAGACGATGGCGCTAACCAAATCTGTGACAAGTTACAATACCGCTGAAAGGATCTGGAAGATTAGCGCTGGTGACAAATCGTTCCGCAGTATAGTTTGTACAATAAAAACACTTTCCTAACCTGACCATTGATAATGATCATTCAGAAAGTCAACTGCCTACGCATCTATAGCAAAGTCATAAACTGTATGGCGGGAACTCAAGGCGCTACAACAAACTGGTTCAAATATGGCACCAACACGACAACAACTTCACTTTGAACAGCAGACGACAATATTGCCGTCCGTGCGACCTCCTGTACACTTCCGTAAACTGATCGAAAGCAGCTGGGTCTGACCCTAGCGGAGTTATGTCATCTGCATACTCAAGGTTAACCAGTCGGTCACATAGCAAAGCCTACGCTATAGGTGTGATTAAAAAAACTAAGTCGTCTATGATCATCTTGATTAAAAAGTTGAAGAGGGAAGGGAAGGAGATACAAGACGACCCTGATGAACTCGGGGGACAGCCTCTGGAGTCACAGTGGACAGTTTTAAGGGAAAGGAGTTCCGATGGCGCATACTTCACAAGTAAGCAGTGCCACAAACTGGCATAATCAACAAAGTCGAAGACAGCTTCCAAATCAATGTAAACCACTACAGTCGGTTGTCTGTAAGTGTGGCTGCTCTAACACTTGAAGAAGAGTAAAGATGTGGTCAATGTAACCACGACTAGGGCGGAAGCTACCTTGGCATTCAGTGATTCGATTCTCTAGAGGATCAGTAAGTCGTCGAAGAATAATACCCGTGAGAAGTTTGAAATCAATGGAAAGAAGACTAGTGTATCGATGATTTTCGCACAAAGTCTACCGACTCTTTTGGAAAATGGGTTAGACAGTTGACAGTCTGAGTGCGTCCTTTTAGTAGCCTAAAAAGTGTGAAACACAGCACCAACTCCGGTCAACAAAGAGTCACCGGTATCTTTCAGCAATGATGAAGGAAGGTCCTTGAATTAAGGAGTCTTGTTTCGTTTCAACAAGGCAGGCTCATGTCAAATCGCTTTCAAAGTCGGAGGACATCCTCTTTCCAGATGGGCTTAGGCGATTCATCAAGCAGCAGTGATGAAGTACGTCTGTTGAGATATTCTCCAAAATCTTCAACTCAACGGTCTAGTCTACGCGACTGAGAAGAGATCAATCATCTAACCTCGGTCATTGTCCTACAAACTTGACCCATGTTCCGCATGAACTGGAACAGCATTCGGCTGTTCCAAATAGCATTTTCTTCATCTTACGGGATTCTGCCATACAGTAAAGGTTAAAGTCAATACGAAGACCATGTCGGTCGTCATTTCAGGGTATTACGGACGCGCTGTAACACAGCTCCCAACGAAACCTGTTTTCGCGCTTGGATCAAGCCGAGCGGCGCCTCTGAGATCCAATGGCAGTTCGGACTTCTTACGTTGGGCGCACAGCAAGCGTAAAGTCATTATTCATGGCACGCTTGAGACGATCCCCGTCAAGGTTCGGCTCACCCACCACAATTATCACAGACAATTGGTGGGCCAGCTCGTTATGAGATTGTTGTACTGCGGACTGTGAGTTCAAGGCACAGGTCAGAAGCTTAGGAGTTAGGTGTTTCTTTGGAGCTGGGGGAGCTAATGTGCCAGGCGTGCGCGCAATAGAGCATGATCGGAATCACAGTTGCAAATAGAGAAAAGTTACCGTGAGCATTGTTGCTGCGTCTGGCCTGCGTCGCTCGTGTTTCACAAGGCAGCATTTGATGAATGAGTGAAAGCGGTGGGACCTAAATGTAAAAGGACGATAAACAGCAGATAAGTAACCAGTAGATAACCGAAAATGGCCATAAAACATACAGCATATACCGCATATATTACCGAATATAAACCGATGATTTTTGGGCAATTTTCCATTTCTGTATTGGGGGGTCAGCTTATAAAAAGGTTATATACAATATTTTAAAAATCACATGCAAGATCCACCCAGGAATTCATTACACACCTCTACCCTATCTACCCTTGGCACCATCCGCTAGTGGCGTACAGCAATCCAGACGGGGATTTAAAGTGCTTATAAGCAGACACATTATGTTTGTGTCGAAAATTACCGGTAGATTGCACAGTTGACGTTCGCAACGGATGACAGTAACAGAAACATATTGATTATGCAGAATCCCACACAATAACTGGGGAAAATATGACAAAAGCAAATACCGACAGACTTTATAGGCATCCATATCCAAACGCTGCGCAATGGTAGTAAAATTACTCTAATCTTTTGAAGTTAGAATTCGAGTCAGGATCTCTTAACAGATTCTGGAACTAATCGTCCGTCATTGGGAAAAGAGTCCATATCGTCATCTTCTACTTCACTACCCCTTCATGGTCGTGTTCCTTGAAAATGGCATCGTCCTCACTTGCATCCATGACATTACTGAAGCCGCATTTTTTGAATAAACAGACGACAACTTCTGATTGGATGTCCAGCCACGTTTCTTTCACCCATTCCGCAATTGTAACCATGTCAACCTTTTTTAAATTGTCACCCTTCGTCAAAGTTAAATCAGATGATGCTATCCATTCAATCCGCCTAGCCCGAAGCCTATCGTTAAAGGGCTCATTGAGACATACATCCAGTGGCTTCAGGATTTAGGTAAGTCTATCTATCTATAAAAACCACGGACGCCGTCAGCTCACGGCATCGTTTCTCCATCTTCTCAGTTCGGTGTGTCATAAAGGAATCACAGACCAGCATAGATGGTTTCTTTAAAACGGCACCGCTTGGCTTTTCCCAAACTGTATTAAGCCAGTCTATAGTGCCACTCTGGTCCATCCATCCTCTCGCGCGAGTCCGCACAAACAAGCCGCTTGGGAACTTCGCTCCTTTAGGCAGTGTCATATGCTTAAAAATAATGAAAGGTGATAAAAACAGGAATCACCTGCCAGATACACCAAAACAACAACGAATCGTGTCTTCTCGTGTTACGTCGTCTTTAGAAAAATTGTATTAGCGTCTTTCTGCATCACCGTGCGATTTGAACGCATATCAAAGCATATGGGAGTCCCGTCCATAGTTCCAATTTGCGACAGTTCAAAATCGTATTGATTTCTCAGCCGAATCAGGAATCTTTGAAGAGGTGTAACTTTAGTGACCAATTCCTTCGGCAGTTTCCGGACTAGTTTTGTGCGGGTCTGTAGACACACGTGAAATCGGTTCATAAAACGACTGCGGATAGCGGCCTACGGTCGGTTATCTTTGGCTGTGTTGACAAGATCACTTTGTGTTGGATTTCTTCTCTCATTGGAAGTATTTTGTGGAAATGTAAACACCATTCAGTTTCATTTTTGATTCTGAATTGTCCGACCAGAAACACGTGTTTTCATCGCTTGATTTCGGCGATCTTGCTATAGCTATTTTCTCCAGCAATTGGTCGCCATCATGTCTTCGGATTATCCACAATGCCGAAGCAATCACCCTGTGGTACGTGTTCCAAGATAGTCGGATATCGCGCAAATGCCCTCACGTGTGTTGCGTGCCAAGTGAAATACCACATTTCATGTTGAGCATTTTCATCGTCTTCGTGAAATCCAATACGATTTCCTTCAAACTTTATGTGAAAATGGCCGAAACAAGCTACAGCCAGGATGAGTAAAGCCGACGTGTAGGCTTCATCATTCCGTTGCGAACAGCTCCGTGGGTTTGGCCCAACAACCTAGCCCGAACAGCCTTTAGGTTTCAGCGCAGTTTTCCTCCTCTATCCGCGCAAACTCACCGGCACGAAGTCCAACCGTCATGGGAAGCCCAGTTTTACATGGCATAAAGTGTTTACCTTTGTTGTGTCTAACGAGCACTGATATCCCAGCAGGTGAAAGTCTGAGTGCTGAAAACCAGTGGAAAGAACAAAGAAGGAAATTACGAAGGGATGTTGGGCGTGTAACTTCTGAAGTCAACAATTAGCCAAACCACGTGAGATCGGTAATGCACTGCACCGTGCAAGGTCAACCTCCTCCGACTAGTGGCGTCATAACCTCGTGATCTTCCATGCGCCGGAGTATAGTGATCCATCATCCCAAGTGCGCTACGATCACGATGTCGAGTTTTACAGTCTAATTGACATACTACTCAACGCTGGTGAGGACTCGGTAAATGTGAGGCGAATTACCCGTCTTAGAAAGCAAGATGATCAACAAAATCGGCCTATGAGAATCACTTTTGTGAACGAAGCCGGTCCAAGACTGATCATGTCCCGCCTAAGTAGGCTGAAAGGTTTGAAGATCCATGTTCGTCCAGACCTGGGCCCAGTAGACAGGGAGCTGCTCAAATCTGCCGTCATTGAGCTGAAAAGACGTACTGGTGAGGGGGAAACAAATCTAAGTATCGTAAATTTTCGGGTGGTTTCCAACAATCTGCGAATCAGGATAAACAGGCTTCTCACACTTCGAGCACGCCCGGCGGCTCGTGCTGCGGCCTGCGGTTTGCAGTTTTATGAACAAGCGTGATGAGATTGGTTGTTTCGTTGCGTCTGAGCGGACAGACGGAGTGTGACTCACAGAGATTGCTGCATTCAGAGCTATACATCCAGGAACTTGAACGCAATGGTTACTCGTGCTTCCGATGGGATAGACTAACGAATGCCCGGGGTGGTGTCCTGCTCTACATCCGGTCTTCCCTGCGTGGGAGACTTGTGAGCACCTACCGAAGTGACGATGGTTTGCGTGAGCTACTGTGGTGCTCGATCCGCCTCCGGCAGGGAGAACTACATGTGGGCGCAGTCTATCGCAGCCCCTTGAGTCGTTGTTTGGATTGGCTGCCCCATCTTCGAAAGCACAAGAGTCGTTCACACTTTTATGGGCGATTTTAACTGTCCTCGAATACGATGGCCTGATGTGCATTTGATGCCTGGACATAGTGAGGTTGAAGCAAAGCTTGTGGATTTGGTACTTGAAACTGGTGCCTCGCAACACATATGCCAGCCAACACGCATGACATCGCGCTCAACCTTGTCCTGTCTCGACCTGATGTTAACGAGATACGAAAAACGAGTGCGTGACTTTCGGATCCTGGAGCCCCTGGCTACAAGCGATCAATCAATGCTCATAGCTGATATGGAATTACCTTAGCCGTATTCACATCCGCTGGAACCAGCTTACAACTACTGGAAAACGGACTTCGACGGTCTAGCTCGAGCCACGAGCCAACTGGATTGGTCGCTGTCACAAGCTGCATCTGTGGAAGACATCATGGTGTTTCCAATTTGTGCCCTTGAAATATCGGAAGGTTGGACTGATTAAGCCTCATTGATTTGACAAGGAGTATGGAAATCTGGCTCGGAGGTTGCGCAGACTGTGAGACAGATTCCTCCTCTCTGGCTCTGCCAATGATTACGAAGGGTATAAAAGTCAGCGCAAACTCTGCAACAGTGCGAAAAGGAATAAGCGCCGACATTTCGAAGAGCAGCTCGCAATAGCCACGAAGACCGCTACAAAGAGAGTATTTGCTTACGAGAAGGGGCGTCGGAAGCCGGCAGGTGATGTGCCAGTGCTGGATGGCCCGGATAGACAGCACCTAACCTCCAGCACTGAGCGTGTGTCTGCGTTGGCGGCGCATTTCGCTTCTGTATTTGCAAATAACCAGGTGTCTGTTCCGAGTTCGACGTGTACCGCTTTTGCCGAACTCGACAGTCTGGATTGCGGCGTTGAAGAGGTATGTCGATTACTCGCCAACCTTGACGGTGCCAAACCTGCTGGACCTGATGGGCTTCACCCACTGGTTCTCAAGTCACTTTCGGTCATCATCTCTCCTGTCGTGACTGAGCTTTTCAACAGGTCGCTGTCCGTTCGTTGCCGATTGACTGGAAATGTTCGGTGGTGAAGCCTATTACGAAAGGTAGCGACCCTAGCAAAGTAGACAACTACAGGCCAATTTGTCTGACACCTATGTTGGCAAAGGTTGCTGAGAACATCGTAAAAAGGATTATTACAGTTGCTACAGTCAAAAGAGGTCCCGACGCCCGCACAGCACGGTTTTATGCAAGGCCGCTCATGCATTACAAACTTGCTTGTGACGAGGCATGAGTGGTTGAAGGCAATAAGCAAGGGGAAGTCTGTCGACGTGATATTCATTGATTTCAGTAAAGCGTTCGACAAGGTCAGTCATGAGGTTCTCCTTCACAAACTCAGGATGTGCGGTGTCCGTGGCTCACTGCACCGGTGGATCCGCGACTTTCTTGTTAGACGAAAGTGGAGGGTACAGGTCGAAGAGCATCTAACTGACTGGTATCCCTCTACAAGTGGCGTGCCTCAAGGCACTGTGCTAGGGCGCACTCAGTTCCTGATTCACATCAACGACCTACCTCAGCTTCTCCGGTCGCCGTGTGCCTTGTTTGTGGACGATATGAAGATTTGGAGAGAAATTGACAATTCCGACAACTGTGGCCTACTTCAGCAAGACCTCAACCGCCTATCTACATGGTCTGCAGCAGTTCATCTTCCGGTCAACCCAGGCAAGTCTGTATTAATGAGCACGGGGAAGGGTGCTGACGGCCGAACCTACACGCTTGACGACCAGCCGCTATATCCCACACCCTCGGTGAAGGACCTAAGCGTACTCTCGTGCTACCATTTAAAGTCCGTGGACAACACGAACATGCTATATCGTAACGGACTGTGCATGCTTTAGGCGCTCAAACGTAGCTCCGGTACAAGGTCTGAAGAGGTTGCCACTCGTCTTTTCTCTTCCATGATTAGACCAATGCTAGAGTACGGTTCGCCCACCTAATTGCTGATT